GTTTTAGCAGGAGTGGGATACAGAGCACCTAACTTCTCATCCTCTTTACCTCTTCTCCTCCTCCTCCTCCTTCTCTCCTCCAGCAGCTGCGTCACATCACTGAGGCGCCAAACGAGCCAACGCCGGCCCCGCCCCTTCACTCTAATGTAGACCAATTAAAATCCTACAGGGCCTCCACCCAGTCTGTTTTAAAGTCTGTCAGCAGCTAGTTTGCAAATTGTTCAGTTTTATTAAGAAAGACTGAGCAGTTTTCTTAGTCTCTCAAATATATTTGGACCTTTCATCATCCCAGTCTAATCATACTGTAGCATGAGAGGACACATACTGTAGGTGAATGACCAACATGGAGTCACATAATCACACATTATAGCCTGCATAAGTTATCACCTGCAGACATCAGTACTGGTGCATGCATTTTCCTGTTAGCATAGATCAGAGGAAATGTGTGTTTTATGATCAAGCCCTCAGTCTTGCACTGTACATTCTTTCAACTTGAAGGTACTACTGCCATTTGCACTTTCATTAAACCAACACTAGAAGAGTGAGTGAACAGTAAACATGCACTTATAGAAAACTGAAACAATGACAGACAGACCCTATAAAGCTCCAAAGAGCTGAGATCAACTGCGGAGTTGAGTAGTAACTCACTGTATGAGGGACTCCTTTCTCACAAAGATAGATTTTTAATACAAAAATATTGATTATAGCTGCTTTTATTTGATGAGATTATCAGGGTTATCTCCTCAGACTTGATAAAATGAAGACAATATAAGAAGTGACAGACTGAGTACTGATCATCATGAGTATAATGAGCAGAGTGTCCCTTTAATATGAGGTGCTTTGTAAAGTTTTACTCTTTTGGCATTTGCATTAATATCAATTAAAAGTCTAAATTAACTTATACCGCAAAATTTAATCCTAAAGCCTAATGAGAATTTTAACTTACTTTTCTTTGGCAAAAGCAATATGAAAACTACACAGGATACTTTAATTTTTGAATTTATCTGGCAAAACCAAACAGCAAATTCTGGGGCTAAAAATGAAGCCAACATTAAAGTGCCAAAAACTGCAGTTCCTCCACTGACCACTTGAGGCCGGCTCCAAAAGATAGTCGATCCCTATAGACCCAATGTTAAAATACCCAACTTTACAGAAATAAACATGTTTACAGCCTGGTATGAAAAACAGTTTTAGTCTCGAGAGCTAATTTCCTCCTTCATGACAACTGTACATGGGGTGCATTTTTATATAATAATTAAATTATATTAAGGCTTAAAAAATATGCTTAATTAAAGGTGTGCTCATCCAACTGGAGTGTGTCCTGGCCACAAACCGGCATTCACCGACGTCTCGGCTTCACACACACCCCACCTCTTTGCCCATTTTAGGATCAGCCAGGAGTTAGGCAGAGTCAGACACTGCCAAGATGGCGATGGTTGGAAAAGCTCACTCTGAGCTTCAAAACCTTCAGAAATTAATGGGTGACGTCATGGAGGCTACGTCCATTTATACACAGTCTATGGGCAATACTCAAGTTTTTGTTTATGACCCATTATTTAAAAAAAATTGCAGAAAGCTGCACCTACAAGATTCAAAAAGGAATATGGAGTATCGGTTTTGAAACTGGGTTCAGATTTAATAAGATGCGAACAAAACCTGATTCTTATCATGAGACATTTCAATGCAAATATTCAGAAATCTCATGCGATTTCTTAATCATACCTCTTTATTCAAGGACTCGTATATTAATACAAAATCTATAGGTACAGTCAAAATGACTGTGGGAGAGACAGTCAAGTAACAGATCAGGCAGCGAAGGATTCGGCCACTCCAGAACCTCTTTTCTGAGAAAGAGCCTTGTTTCCACTTTGGTGGTTCTGTGATAAAATGTTATTCAAGCTCATGTTTTTTTTTTCTCTTTACCTGAAACAGATACATGTGTATTTAGATAATCAGAAAATACAACCAGGAAACAAATTGTACAAATTGTGGACTCAATGAAGTCAAACAATGCCTCTTTTTTTCACATGCACATTTTCTTTTCAGAACATGCAAACAGGACATGTCCAGAGGGGGCAGCCACTGTTAAAACTGTAAGAGGAAAACTTGGCACCCTGTTAACGTGGGGCTCGTTGGAGGTCTGAAAATGGAGCATCTTTTTTTTCAAATCTACTGTGGAGATGAACACAAATCTCTGTTCCAATATGGCAACTTGCAGAAACGTTTAAAGACAATAAGATGACAAGCAATCCATTACGTTACCCTCACGAAGAGCGGAGCCACGCCCACCTCACTGCTTTAAAGTCTAAAACGTCTCCTTACAGATGATCCATCAAAAAGATTGCACAAATATGAGACCACAGGAAGTAAATTAAAACACAAGGAAGTAATCGACTTGGATCAAATAATATTTGCAAATAATTTACATGCTCTTTAACCTGCTTAGAGATGAGCCAGGACAATATAATGAGCACCAAGATTTAGATACCCAGAGGTCTGTTATTTTTATCTAATCTGTATTTTGATTAAAAATATGTATAATGATAGATAGTCCATGGATGATGGGCTAACCGGGCCGGGGCTAGCTGGTTAGCATGCTAAATTCAGTAGAAGAAAAGAAGCCAAATAAAAGTGTTGCTTTCCACAGCTGGAGACAGCTCTTGGTGAGTAAAGGAATGAAGTTTGAAACTTGAAAAATTTCTTCTAGACTGGTAAGTAAACAGCTGTTGATACTAGCATTAGCCATGTAGCAATAGCAAAACTTACAAACAGCTCCTTGATCCATGCCAAAACTTTAACCTGTTAAATGAATTATACCTGTTAAAATATTTACCTGGCCAAAATTATATTTAAATCTGACAAGATATGTTCTTAATTAATAGATAATAAGCCATATATTTGTGACCTGTTTACAAAGATTTACGTCTCCAGCAGGAACTAATGCGCTGGGAGTTGAGAGCCACAGACAGGGTAGAGGAAGAGATGGTTTTGGTCTTCTTATGTTTGTTGACAATAACATCCAGACTTATCCTTTAAGTAGATATGTTATGCCCAGTGGAACAGCCCAGAGAGAAAGAGTCAGAGGATAGCTAACGGATGATATATGGCACAAATACAGCCTCCGGTCTCTGATCTGGCAGTACCAGTTGGGTTTAGCTGGTCCAGGGCTGAAGGAGGTGGGCACGGGCCGGGTGCAGGTCTTAGTTTTAGGCCAGTGCAGAACTATGAAACAGAAATACGTTTCATAGTCAGTTCAGCCTTTTGTGATTGACAAAATACCTGATATCTGCTTCTCTGAACAAGTTTAAAAGCCACTGAAGATTATTTAAAAATACAACTTGACCCAAGTCTGGAAAGAACAGGTTTATATTCTGTGTGGTTCTATCTGGGTAGGCGTCATGCAGTCAACTTCCCAACCTCAAAAATGCCCTGTGATTCACATATATCAGCTTTAATATGATTTGTGCCTCAGTGTGTTTTCAGTTCACTGTACATCATATAATATATTTACAATTTACAACTCTTCACACATAAATGTAAAATTTGGTCGCAGTCACACTAAAGCCTGAACCTGGAGATTCCAGAGGGTAAAGCTACAGGGCAGATGAAGTGTCGTCTTGTTGCATAGCCCTACTTTAAGTCAACAGTCAGCAGCAACAACACAACTCCTTATTGTACCTGTGTGTATACACACAGGTAACCTCGCCTACAAACCCTCACACATTACTGCTCTCAGTGGAAAGAGGTGAGAAGAAAAGGAAACCCATGAAATTTGGGCAAATATGGCAGACGTGAGACATATACGGTATGCTTTAGGAGGCAGGTGTTTCTGAATATTTGTTGATTATTCATCAAAAAATGGCACTTTTCTCCATCCAGAGACCATTTCTACCAACTGACTGGCAGTATATTTGAAAGAGAAAGGCAAATGCTTACCACACACCCTTAAGCAAAAGTACAGACACTATTTTTTTTGACAAGTTCAAGACCCTGGCATGCACTACATTGCTTACTTTGCATCTGTAATTCTGATTTACCTACCACAAGATTCAGTACAAAAAAAGTCTTTTTTTTTTGCATTCTGTTCTTTATACCAGATTCAAACAGGAGCTTTGTTCTGTCCACTTTTTCTCAGCTGTGTACATACTTACATCAGTTCAAGTCCGTCTGACCCAAAGCCAGGCTGCATCTCAACACGTCTTGGAAAACGAGGCACTTAGTATTCAGCCACATAACATCAGAAAAGAGTTGATCTAGTCCCTACGTGTGCTCCAGAAATGTACGTCTGGCACAACTTACAAAAACATGATCATTAAAACTCTCTAGCTCTAGTTCCATTCTAACCAATCCCATTGTTTGACTTCTGTCACGTTAATTACTGTGTCCGTTAAGTGTCATGGCAGAAGTTTAAGACCAAAATAAATCTGTTTTTTCCTAATATCTCTTGTTGTCAGAATTCGGTGATAACCCCGAAAAAAAAAAAAAATCAATATGATCAAGTTATATCCTAACTCTTCTCTAACCTACATGGCAAACATAAACAAAATGAAACATACAATAATAAAAACAGTGTTGTGAGCAGCCATATTAATACCAGGAGTGAGGCATTCAGATCAGTCTGAAACACAGTTCATGAATGAGGGGATTTTGGCTTTTGTCTTCTGCTCCAACACTGATTTTACTGGCCAAGGCAAAATACTTAAGGGTCTTCACATGTGCTATAATTTCAGTGCAAGTAAAGGGGGTAGAAAAAGTCATCGCTGTCTTTTTTTCCTTAAAGAGTTTGTTGTATAAAAAAGGAGAGTAACACTACAAAGCTGGAATGATTTCTGATCCCCTTTAACAGCACTTTCCACTGGCGTTTTCTTCAGTATCTTCCCTTCTGTATCAATCCTCTGGCTTCCTCTCAGCTCATTGGACCTGACATGAGCGCTGTACAACACTGACAAGCTGCTCCGTTCTCTGCTAACATCAACTTCTTTCCAAAATGTTCTGCCATGTTAGCACCAGTCCTCTTCGTCCCTCTCCCTGAGACTCCCTCTGCCCCCAGGTCCCAACACAGAGTTGACCCCCAGGGTGAAGTGGTACCCGTTCGGCACCACCCCTGCCCGGGCCTGCGTGACGGGCACTGTGACGGGCGCAGCAGCATTTCCGTGTGAAGCTGAGGCTGTAGTTGAGGCAGTGGTTCTGGCAGAGTGTCCCCCTCCGTGGCTGCTCACAGCGTCCTGGAAGTCCTCTGTCTCTTCGAGGAGGGCCTGTTGAGAAGCGTCCTGCAGCTGTCGGTTTAAATTAGGGTCCGAACTGATGCGGGTGACCGGTATCGGGGACTCGCTGTGGCCCCCAAGTAAACGATCGTGCTCTGAAAGGCCACGGCTGAAGCGAGTCTGGTGCCCTGTCGTACCAGTGCTGGCACTGGACGGGAGAGGCGAGGAGTTGGCGGTCTTGTAGGCCACGGCGGGACGAGGGGTGAGGGGCGTCTGTGGCAGCTGCCTGCGACCACGGCCCGGCGTGCTCGAATCAGAGGGGAGTGTTACAGGGCCAGTTTTAACCACACCGCTACCATGCTGAGGAAACAAAATGCACGTTTGAGAAGGTCAGTTCATTATAACAACAACAAAATGAGACAAAATCACTTCCTTTGAGATTTTTTTTACCGCATTTTCATCACAATTTTGTATTGGCTTTAGCACTAAGGTATTTATCCACATACTGCAGTGAGTAGTAGAAGTGCGGCATTAGTGTCAATGGCTCTGTTATGAAACCATGACTTGGAGGTTAAAGAGCAACTAAACCTGTTTGAGCAAACCAGCGTCCTGTCCCTCTCCAGGAGACGTGGATCTACTGGGACCAGCTGACTTGGCGTGACACTGCTCCCTGCTGCCGTAACGCTCACAGGAGTAGTAGCGCTGCTTCTCTCCTGCCGAGGAGTGGTGCCTCCTCTCGTGAGGCCGGCTGCGGTCCCGCTCCCTCGCTCGTTCTCTGGACAGACCTTCAGCTGAGGGGTCGGTAAACGAACCTGGATGAACACATCATTGAATGAAATGAGAAAAAGCAGGAAAAAAAATATATATATATATACTGCACTGCTGTCACTTTTATCATCTCATCATCTCGATGAAAGAAATTCAATATTATACAGTTGTTATTATTACTATATATTTGGTGATTGTTCTATTCAAAAGCAAAAAGTTGAAGAAACTAGATAACAGGGCTGTGTGATCACAACACCAAACTATATAAGCAGTAATGTGTGGCAACACAACTCTGCACTGGAGATGGAAAAAGCATGAATAAACGTTTTGTTTCCTTACAGCAGCTGCATTTTACAAACATTACATTTTTGGAAAATAATACCACTTTCATACAGGGTTAGCTTTTCTCCGGATTCCAGACTTTATGCTAAGCTAAGCTCTAGTTTCATATGTATTATTCAGACATGAAAGTGATCAACACACTGAACGGCAGAGTTATCCATTAGCTTGTCACCCAACTATGGAAGTTATGGCATCACAACCCCCCCCCCCCAAAAAAAACGTCTATTTTCAGACAAAGTTTAAGATTAAGCTGCATGAGTTGGATTCAATGTAACTTCTCATTAATTGATGTTTGATTTTTTTTGAAAAGGTGACAGCACTGACTGTTTTTAAGGCGTTTTGTAAATGACTCTTTTATTAAAATTTAAAACCAGAATATAAAGGATTATTATGTAAGTTTCTTTTTCTGTTTTTTTTTTAATTATTCTCACTTTTTGTTAAACTGTATTTTTTCCTCTGGTTTATTGTTTGTGAGTTATCCAGGATAGACAGCTGCTGCATTCAGCTTATAGAGTTGAATTGAAAAGGACTAAAAAACCCACTCCACCTCCACCACTCAGCCATATTATATGTCTGGTGACAGTATCACCATGTTTTGGAGTGCGAAATACAGTGCTTTGATATTTCGTTACACCTCTGACTAAAGGCAAATGACTCATCTATTGTATATATGTGTATGTGCGTGTGTGTGTGTGTGTGTGTGTGTGTGTGTGTGTGTGTGTATGTGTGTGTGGCATAAAGCAAAGCTCTGTGGTGAAATGACTTTCTTCAGCGCTGGAGTAATTCCAGTTTTCAGATTAAAAGTGCGATGACAGAAGCACAGGAGCCTATTCATCATTCTGATGTGTCAGATCTGCCTTGAGAATGACAGGCTTTGAGGAGTGGACGTCTTTCTCTCAGTTTAATAGATGTAGAGAGAGCTGCTGGATGTTCGGCTATCTCACCAAGAGGTACCCATAAATCCCTGTGCTGGCTCTCTCCGCTGTGGCCTTTTATCTCAGCAATAAAGCCCAGCTGCTGCCCTCCAGTGTTAACACAAAAAACACCCTGCCACCTGCTCTCAGGCTCTAATCACTGTAGCAGACGGCCCCTCATGCTTACAAAGACTGTGACCACCGCTGTTTATACTCAAAACTTTGCTAACTCGACACCATGAAAACCAACATGCAAAGACTTACCACATTTCTGCCTTTGTTTTCTTGTCAAACTTACGGACACCACTCTGGAAATCATCCTTGGCGGTGCATTCATGGACGCTGCGACACGACATCTGAGATTTAAGAGCCAGCTCAGGAGAAAGAGGCCATAAAACCAAACCCAGAGGATAAACAATGGTCCAACATGGACAGTGTGAAAAGGATTATATAAAATTGGTCATTTCTTGAAGTGAAACGGTTGCTGTTGCTGCTCTGCTGACTCTGAAATCTGAGGTGTCTGAGCACACATGATTGCATCAACATAGGTTGGTTGTGCTAAGAACTGGTTTCATCCACGTCTATCTGACAGAGAACAGACAATCTGCACCGACTCCCTTGAGACATTCACCACAAGGTTCTGTGCTCCTCCTTTACTGTTTACACTCTATTACAATATTATCACTCCAGCGCAGACGTATAATATCCGTCTCTGAGCGGATGACACAGTCTTGTATGCACTTGGCTCCTCTTCAACTCAAACTACATCAAGATTACAATCTACCTTTAATGTTCTTCAGGAGTATCTGCGTAATCTCCCGCCTGTACTGAATGCCGGCACAACAAAATGTGTTTTGCTTTCAAGAAACCATAATTCCAGTGAGGATCCCCCTGCCATCCATACGCTAGATGGAATTGAAATTGAAATTGCTCAGTCTTATGAATACCTGAGAATTTGGCTAGACAGCAGACTCAAAGCATGTGGAGCAGCTGGCACTGTGTTTCTTGTATCAGAATAAAGCATGTTTTTTGTGTGGAGGACAGGAAAGTGACTGTACAGGTGAGCATCATGTCTGTGCTTGACTTTGGAGATGCTGCTTGCTCTACCTTAAAACAACTCGATGCAGTTCATTGTGCTTTCAACTTCAATACACAAGGTAAATATCATACTCATCCACATAGGTGCATGTGAAAACTAAACTGTTCTCAATGAAAACGAAGGCTGGTCCTCCATGGCAACAAGAAGAGAACTATATTATATTTATGTGTATGTTTGTTTTTCTGTCTCTCTGCTGCACTCGGGTCTCCCTTGCAAAAGAGATTTCTATGAGATTCCCTGATTAAATAAAGGCTACATAGAAATTGTTCTGAATGATAAGCGGTAATGTCAAACATAGGCATTTTCCACAGTAGTGGTACTGGGGGTGTCTGGTGGGCTGACAGTTAAGCGCACATAACTGTAAAGTCTACGGTTTGATACCCGGTCAGGGCCCCTTGCATGCCATGCCCTCCTCTCTCTCTCTCTCTCTCTCTCTCTCTCTGCCCTGGTTCCCGTCTCTGTCACTGTCAAATAAAAGGCAAAATAAAATATGAAAAAAAAAACATAAAAAAAAGTAATGGTACAGTTCTTTAAAGCAAGTGATGTCAAAATCATTTACTTTTTGGTGCATCTCAACAGCAACTGACTGTAGTATGAAACTGCGGATACTCGTTTTATTTTCTATGGATTTTACAGATGACCTCAAAGTTCAACTCAAGTGTTAGACATGACCTCATTAATGGCAAACAGCCGATAACTGCTGCCGCACCCTGTTTGTGTGTCGAAGGTACTGAAAAAAGGGAATTTAGATGTGCTGCACAATACGCGTGTATTCGGGTGTGTACATGTGTGTTTTCTTAATGTGGCTCGGCTAACTTCTGTTTTTATAAAGCAAGAAAATGTAAATTCAACCTTTTTCACTTGTATCTTGCAGCTCTAAGTGTAAGTTTGTGGGTAGCTCAGACATCCCAGCACTTACTCAGTCTACAGTGTATAGATGTGACTATCGAGGTCAGAGGGAACAAAGGGAATAGCCGATAAAGAAGAAAAGAAAAAATCCCCGGCAAAGCAGATTTTCTTCTGAGAACTCACAACTCTCTCTCTGCTAATCAGATGAAAAGCCTGACATGTAAAATCCCCGGCTGAAGTGCAGCAGAAACCCTTTCACCTTCAGTTCATAACCTGATCATGGAACTTTAATCCTATAAAGAATTTCTGCAGCTATGTTAAGACATCCAAGTGATCTGCTATCTGTCTCTCCATGAAAGTGATGCCAAGTTTCTAAGAGCATTTCCTCCCTGTTTTATATGAATTAAGATGAATTGATTTGCTGTGTTATGTAAATGAATCTCAACAAGCTAAAACATGCTCCATTAATGGACGTTTTTAAATCCTTTGTCCATGAGTTTTAAGCTCAAAGATATTAAGTGTTTATATTTTTACTAAAGCTGTAGGTGAGCCCTGGAGAATGTAACAAAGCAAGTGAGACTGTAAAATGAACTGTGGCCACAAGTGGTAAGAACAGGATTATGACACAATGAATTTTTACTTAATTGTCCAAGATTACCTGACTGAGAGTGATCGGAAACAGGACCACAAGCAAGAAACAAGAAACATGTCTTTTGACAGAAAAAAAAAAAAAAAATCCAACACAAGTGCTAGCTTAGAGTTGTCATAGAAAAAAACAGCTGCAGGAGACCTCCAGACGCCATTAACAGCTCCAGAATCTTATTCATTTATGTTAAAGCTACTGTTTCTAAGGTGAGGAATGACCTCTCCTGTTCAACAAACATGTCACCTGGTAAAGGTACTTTTGTCATAAACCCTGAGCGTATTGTAATGAACAAGGGTGCATCGTTTGCATGTGAACTCTCTTGTGATTGACTGACCATAAGTAGCAGTTTCTAAACATGTTCCAACACTGAATTCCTGAAGTTAGATACTGAAAGTCATTAATCTTTCATGCTGAGACATTACACTGAGGAGTAGTTCTAAACGACTTGTAAATGTTAAGCCACATTCAACTTTTTTGGTTGGATGTATCTTTTTGTCACAATCCTCTACGCTGGCACCTTTCTCTCATGGAAATGAATGAGGGCATTGTATTGTTTCATGCAGTGTTAACGTCAGTCTGAACATGACTATACCTTCGGCTTGTGTTATCTAATGTTTCTAAGACAACCTATGATGAATGGAAGCATTCACCCAAAATCCACTGTATCAATTCAAATCCTTCATGAAATTTGCTTGTTATTTATGTGTTTTTGTCTCACCGACAGTGCTGGACGGTTGCACTGATGCAGCTCTATCCAGGGACTTTTGCTTCTTGTCTTTGTCCTTGTCCCTGCGTCGATGGCAGCGGTGGTGGTGGTGATGATGGTGGGCTCTATCCTGGCCCTGGACTTGCCCTGGTCCAGTTGAGGACTGGGCCAGACCAGGCCGTTCCAGGTCATACTCCCTCAGCCCGACCTCCTGGTGGCGCTGCGGTGTCAGCGAGGAGGCTGAGCGTCTTATAGGACTGAGGTCAACAATCGGCTGTGAGGGGAGGAGAAACGTGGAGAGGCGTGATGAGAAAGAAGAGCGGACTGGCGGCTGTGGGTGGCTTTAAACAAACCCCTTGTATTGGATCACCAAAATATCCACGACACACAAATGACACAACCGGTGGATGGCAACCTTTGGTCTAAAGACCGACGTTCAACCCGTTCTTCTCCAGGCAAAGATGTTGGAAATGTTTGAGAAGAATGAACACAAATCTGTGACAAAACTTGAATACTTACTTTTATAGAACTTACACAATTTGTAAGCCAGCAGGAGTCTCTGCTAGTGAACAAAGAAGAGGTGGGGTGCTGCCACTGGCCTTTGTGGCATTTTTTTTTACCTCTTCTAACCTTAGAAAGAAGTGTAATCTTTCTGTTAATAGCTAATACTTGCTAATGACCACATTATGGTTTAATTAAAGGAATATGTCATTGAAAAATTATGGTTGGATGGAAAAAATATCCTGCACCATGTTTGACTTTGGATGGTTTGTATAGAGCACAGATGTATTAAGAGAGCTCCAACATGTGGGCGGGACCAGCGGGGGTAACACTAATACACATGCGCAGTGGGCTAGAAAACTTTGAAGGCATATGTGCAGGGTGAGCAAATTTCATTGAAGTGAATGAGTGCCATATAAGAATCCAGTATCAAGGTCCTATAAGATGGAATATAGTTTAAAGGAGCTATTTGTAAGTTTTGCTATCACTACATAGCTAATGTTAGCATCAACAGCTGTTCTCCACCAAGTCCTGAGGGAAATATTTGGCTCTAGCTGCTAAATCCTCTGCTGCCGTATGTCCCACTGTTCACTGGACAGGTCGTGGTTTATCAGAGCTTTTTCATGACATAAAATGGAAATAACAATGACGTCATGACGTCATGACGGTTGTGGGCCATGAAATCAAAACAATGACCTGAAAAATTCTAAAACGCTAAGTAAGTTGTTATTTCTTCGTAGGTTTGTCACTGCAAATGACACCTTTCATATCCAAATCGACACATGATCCATTTTTAGCCAAAAAAATATGATTGTAGCAGATTTTAGCATATAGTGGCATATTCCTTTAATGTTTTACATTCACCCGTTTTTCTCAGTGGATTAATACTTTGACTAATTCTTTAAGGACATTGACATTCACCCCACCTAATTCTTATCTTACTGACCAGTACAGCTACCAGGTAACAAACTTATGAGATAGGGAACTGGAACAGCAGCTAACGTACCACCTCACCTACTGGTTACAGCGTAGATTATGTGAAATGATTTTAGTTAATAGTTTTTTGAGATATTAAGTTTCCTAATACAAAAGTATTTGTCTGGATTCATAACTTGGATAATATATTAATGCAAGTGTTGGGGTGTGATTCCCAACACTTGGGAGCTTCTAGTGCTAAAAATGAAGCGTTTTGTTACATGCATTTTTTACAGGCAGATTTGGGGTGTTTATGCTGTTCCTCTTGTTCCTACCTCACAGTTCAGCCTGTAGCTACAGTCAGAGAACAATATCACAACACTGCAAAAAAATATTCATATTACTAAGTCATTTTATCTAGTATGCAGTCTTAAAATCTTAAAAGCTGTCATATATTGGTATTAATAAAAAAAGTAATCATAAATCCCGTTTCTTTCACATTACTCAAAGAGTCTTGAAGTGATAGGGGTAAAAGAGATAAATCGGACTTGTTCAATTTGCGTCTGTATTTGACGTGTGAAAAATAAGATTTTAAGACTGAAAATTAAATGACAAATAAGGCTGGGCGGGTTTTTAGTGGTGTAATTAAAAGAAAAGAGTTATTTCAAAGCAGGAAAGTAGCAGCACTGTCCCTGCCTTGTTTCAGAATCACACACTGACTCACAAAGTAACTACACACTACTACACTACTACATTACTACATAACAACACACACACATACACAACCACATTTTACCAAAGTATAGAATTGTACTGCTGTAGCTAATGGCTGAAAGGCAGGACAGAGTGCTTGACATACCCCCGGATACACTGGATATAAATTGTTTTCCAGGGGTGGATTCTGGGTATGATTTGAGTATAATATAAATTTGCGTGTTGCATGTAACATGTCCATCAGCAATTGCATGGAATGACCGGTGTATAGTGTATATGTAGGAGGGTCACTTTGTCCATGGTGGTGGGAGGGTGTGAACTCTGCACTGAGATGAGAGGAGCACATGGAGGCAAACATAGACATGAGAGAAGAAGAAGAGGAAGAAAAAGCGGGAGAGGACGAGGGGAGGAGGGAAGAGAAGAAGAAGAAGAAGAAGAAGAAGAAAAGAAAAAGAGAGGTGGCACAACAGGTGGTACATACTGCCAGGTGGGTCCCAGGGGCGTGGCGAGGGTGGCTCCGCTATCAGACAGCACACACAAGAGGGAGGTGGGCAAAACATTAGCAGTGGGCATTGAAATTAGGAGAAAGGGAATACAGAAGAGGAGGAAAAGAGACTAGAGAAGGATAATACTGGTGTTACTCCATATTTGTCCTTTTGCCAACAAATCTCATGAAAAGACTAAAACCAACAAAGAATTGATCAAGTATCAATATCTCCTGAGCTCCGTCATCATCCAAAAACTATTAAAAACACACACCCTGACTCAGTCCCACACCCACCATCCTGCTGCTGGGAAAAATACTCACTAGAACACCAAATGTGTATCAATCCGCCACTGAAAATAGTCCCCCAAAATATGCACTATTTACTTCACACTGAGGAACATTTTCTAAAAGCTAAAGGGCCCAGCTGTTAAAAAAATCACTGAGCCTTTTTTAAAAAATAATGAAACTATATATTTCTGATCTATTTTTAAAAGATTTACTTCTTGAGTGAGTTCTGCAGACAAGGCAGGGAAGTCAGAAATTAATGAGTGATGGAGCTACACATTGTTGGTTTTGGTCTTTTCATATGATTTGTTGACAATAACAAAAATATAGAATAATGCCGGACTTATCCTTTAAAGAGAAAGAGAGGATGAGAGATCCTCATGCAACATAAACATTCATAAACATAAGGAAAGCACATGTTAAGTGGGACAGAGCAGGGTGACAGAGAGAGACATACAAAAACACAGAGGCAGATAAACAGTGAAGCTAAAAATCAGAGAGGTGCTACCATCCAGGAGACACAGAAATGATGGACAGAAAAATTATTTGGCATGACATCCATATGCAGCAGACAAGAGCAGCTACTGTAAAAAGTGAACATTTTGAAAAGTGAATGACAAGTGAAATTCATAAAAACCAAAGGATTACTGAAGTCATGCAAAACTCAGCTGTTAGATTAGATCCTATTGTACTGTAGGTAAATGTGAATATTGTATGAAATGTAACGATGAATGATAATATGAAGTTTTATCACAATCGTATTGGTAAGTAAACCAAACACACTCAAAAGATTTTAAAAACAGGATCCTTAGGATTTCCAAAAAAATTTAACTTACATTACAATAGTTCCCCTTATGTTGTATTTGCATGAGATTAGTACATTAAAGATCATAATTTTACAGATACAGTTTCTATCGTAAGGCAAAATATAAAAGGGCTCAAGAAATTGTATCGCTTGAACTGTCTGACCAGAGAAATTAAATATCGTGATAATTGTGGACATGACAAATACTGTGGATCTCTAGTATCTTTCTCAATATATGGATTAAAAAAAAACTTGAGGCAGTGAGTAACAGCAGTTCAAAGTTCAAATCTACAACATCTCTAAAGCTACAACTAATCAACTTGTTTCATCTCATGTGTTTAGTTTGTACACAAAGAGCAATTCCAGTTTTAGGGAGAGTTTAGTGCAGAAACTATGTGTTGTCAATTTGCCTCCCAGCTGCAGCTCCGTAGTTAGCACATAGACACATGTGTGGTATCAGTTTTCTCATGTAACTCTCAGAAAGAGGAAATTTAGCATATTTCCTAAAATGTTGAACTATTCCTTTAAATAAAGGTTCATCTGAAGGTGGTAAAACAGCACTGACAGCAGCTTACTTGCTCATCTAGTAGACCTTTCTGCAAAAACACTCACTGTGTATCTATCTCTGTGGAGGAGAAATGTTTAAAACAGCATGTTTGTAAATTGTATTTTGGGGTTTGTCAGTCCAGCACATCTGCTGCTGCTCAGCTGGTTTGTCAGTTATTCAATATGCCTGCCTTTTTTTGTAATAAACTAAAAACTGGCAGTGTTATCCAGCATATGGCTTTAGTTTGGAGACTGTATTAGCACTTAGACAGAGGCAGAGATTTAGATTTCTGGTAATGAGGGCGGTATAATCATTCAAGATCAATGTCAGGTATTGTAGAAATAGCAGTCGGTCTTTATAGTTATAGATGATTATGTTCCTAATGTAATGTAATGCAATGCTCAGTTTCTATGCAGCAGGAGTTTATGAATCTTCTAAGTCTATTAATCGATTATTAATCGTCCATTTCGCTGCGTCCATCTCTACGCTGAATTTCCTCCTCAGTAAAAATGGCAAACAGACTGGAAGGGTCAGCGTCAGCACGTTGAGCTGATGCGGACTGACAGAGAGCAACTCTGCTTCTGTTTGCTCACGGCTGCTTTCACTAACTGGCTACCACTCAGATTCCCATCAGCCTTTTTTCAGCCCTTTCCCATTTCCTGATCATTTTGTCAAGGAAAAACTGAAGGTATCCACAGAATCTGCATTTCCCGAACCTGATATTATCCCAAGGATGCAGCTCAAAGAAAACAACTGTGAATGAACCAAAGAGAGCTTCTTTTTTTTTTCTGTGAGCTCTAAAAAAAAAATAAAAAAAAGAAGCATGACATGATGAGCACTGAAGAGCTTACGTAGTATTCAGCATTGAGTCGGGGCAGAGAAGCTGCTCTGTAGTGTCCTTCCAGGCTGGGATATTCCTCTGTATCGGAAATGTTCTCCACCTGTTTCAGCTCAACCACTTCCTGAAAGAAAAAGAAGAGGAGGGAGCATGTATGGAGGTAACACACAGATCACATAGATTACACAGAAAGTTAGATTGTAAAAATAATGTTTAGAGGATGGAATTTTCCAGGTGTTTTTTGTACCTGGGGTCTGGTGGAATATGGCACATCTTCTGACTGGCCCCTCTGTAGTTTCCTCCGGCCTTTGGGCCTCTGTGCTGCCTGAGAAACATCTCCGGACTGGGAATGTTTTATGGCACTCCTCTGGTTTAAGCTGTACACAGACATTCAAGAGCTCTGACTTTAATACTGGCACTAAACACCGTTGTAGGATCAGTGGCCAGTTTCACAGAGATATTTTAGACTGCTGTGTTAGGTCAGTCTTCATTTTGCTCTTACATTAGTCTAATGCAAATAAGACACTCTCACAAAACTAAAGACTGAGTTAGCACAAGCTAACTGAGCTCTGCCACTTAAGGAAGCCACAGCCTCTCAGCTCTGCTACAGGTCTGTACTGTGCTGAGGTTTTATGCTCAAGGAAGTCCTCGTAAATGTTGACTCCCTTTAATATTTTTTAACTTCCTCAAATATTTTCTGCTGGGGTCAATGGAGCTGCAGTTACTTGGTTAGTGATGTTTTTTAGTTCGAAAAAAAGAATTTACCCAGAATTCATGGCAAATTAGTTGTACTTCAGATAGTCAAAAAGTAGACAGCTTTGCGCAACAGATGAAGTTTGATGTCTTTCTGAAGTCTGACTGTCAGTTAGCTTGAAGCCAAAGTCAAAGTCTGTCTTTGTGAAACCTTCCCCAGTTATAAATTGAGGCAGTAAAAATGTAACGTAAAAAATTTGAGACAAACAAGCCAAACTGCACTGAGGAGAGGGAAACTTACAGAATGTGTTGGGTGAACACACCAAATGGACACAGTGATATGATACTGTGGTATCACCTAGACAGGAGATATATGAAGTTTTTACTGCACACTGCTCTATGTACTCACATTGTGTCCCTGTTTATTGAGGTGGTGGCAGTGGTGGTGGGCGGGGCCTGTGGCTTAGCTTCTGGTTCAGGGACGGATGGGAGGGGCTGTTTGGGGCTGCAGATTGGTGGTTCTACTTCCTGTATGTGAGTGAGGGGCAGCACAGGACGGAACAACGCCCCCAGTTTACTCTACAGGACAGATCAACAGCAGACGTCACAAATGGAGCCATTAGATTGACTATGACAATTAGATTTTGGCCGCAGAAGAAGGACGTGTACAAACAGTGAAAGAGCACCAAATCAATTTACAGTATATGTTCTACCATCTTCTAAAAGGTCGAACGTAGAAATCATCTGTCTTGATACTTTTATCCATTTTATTTTATTTTTCATTTCTCATATTCAGCCTTCTTAAGTAAGTAATATGATCTCCCTCCACTGACAGATGTATTCTAAATGTTCTCTCTGTATCATGAGATACATAAGAGGTTATGACTAAGACAGAAAAAAATAGGTTAGTGATGCTAAAACCAAAATAATTTGTATTCTATTCATTTTTTTTAAAGACAAGACTACAAAAACAACCCAAAACCCTGATCTGAGACACCTAATGCACATTTTCCCTTGAATATCACAGGGTTAAGTCTCGGTTAACCAGCACTAGAATATTTGTTTACACTCTAAACAATCCCGCTCACTGAGGTCTGGAGTTTGATTCTCTCTATACGACTCTTTACAAGGACATTTTGTCAACACGCTTGTACCTGAGTTCCTCCTGAAGGATGCTGCTGCTGGAGTCTCTTGGCACGATTCTGCTTATAGTAATCAAAGATCATGAACGCTGCGTAGACCTTCCCCACGGTCAGCTCATTGTCTAGAAGAGGAGAGAGCAGACAGAGGCACAGTTCCTCCATCACGGCAGTAGATGGCGCCACAGCTCAGAGCAGGAGACATGAACAGTATGAGCCTGGCCGGTGTGGGTGTGAACTGAGCTGTGCTGTCATCGTCAATCTGTGCATTTTCTATCATTGCTTATCTATTATTGATCAATCACATGTTTAATCTTGATTTAATAGATGAGTCTTAATAGAAAGAAGAAAAAAGAAAACGCAATAATGCATATCACTGCACTAAGAAAACTCACAATTCTCTACAATATGAGAATTAGTGAAATGTGATGATTTTTAAACACAAGTTGAAATGATCTCACAACACTGGCAGACACTTTCTTGACCTGTTTTGAGAATAACAGACAAAAATTGCTTGGTAAGATGGAGATTTTTTTTTTACCCATCATTGAATCCTAATAGTATTTTTTTACTGAAACAAGTAGTTTTTTCCTTCCTAAAATGCCAGTGTAGTATAATCATTTCAACTAGTGTCCAAAACAAAACAACTTGTTTCAAGAAATGTTTATAAATGAGAGTCTGTATCTTAAAAGACGGCGGAATAAGGCAATCAGTGCACTGGAATAAACAATAAAAAAAACAAACTAGAAACTAGAAAATTCTTCAAGCAAGTTATGTTGCACTGGAATCATGTTCTCTGCAAATGTTTCATTTATTTGAAAACATAAAACTTTTAGGGCTCTCCAACAGAGAAAAATAATGGGCAAAGAAAGACGCAGTGCAAAACCATCTTTAAAAGAAAGAGGAGAAATAAAAAAGATGATATAAGAGCAAACAGGAAGAAGTCAAGTGACCAGCAAATGACTTGTTTGTAATGTAGCTCAGTTAAACCAAACAGAACCGTGGCTCACATTTATGTGGCGTCACCAGCAGGTCAACAGTCTTCTGCGACAGGTTGGGCCAGACTCGGCTTATCTCCCTCTTCAAGTCGGCGTCGCACAAACGCTGCGCCAGGACCCCTGGGGACGCACCCACAAACACGTCACATCAAATCTGCGCCACAGCGATCACCAGTATTCACATTAACATCAGGACCGCCAGTGCGGCCACAAGGGATTCTGGATTTTGTAGTTTTAGTCTCTCACCAGATGCCAGTTTGATCTCCAGGGCTGTGCGGATCAGGGCCATCAGCGTGGAGGTGAAATGCACTGTGTTGTCATCTGCAATGGGCATGTTCATCTTCACCAATCGCTGAGAGGAACGGAAGCAAGAGAGGAGGGGCCATGAACCAGGAACTAATAATCAACAGTTCAGGGAGAGGAGGCCTGATTTAAGATGTTACCACAAGTTCAATTAAGGGATGGATTATTAAAAATTTGGCTTTGCAAAACAATTCTGGTTCACAGCCATAAAACAGAGAAAAGCATCAAATTCTCACACTGAAGAAGCTGGAATCAGTGAACATTTGGCATTCTTGCTTGATTAATAACCTAATAGATTAATCAGGAATAATGTTGTCAATTGTTAATTTTGGGGTGGGGGTGGGGGGGGGCTGCTTAAATTGTAATGTGGAGCACCGTGAGCTCTGTGAACATGCTGAACTCTTATTGCTGCTGAAAACATGCAGCAGCACTTCCTTCATTATATACACTTGATCTTGATGCAATATTCATGCCATGTTTGTACTGAAAGAGTTGCTGCTCTCTGTAATCATTCCTCCTCTTCACACTGGTTGTAAAGATATTCCACTATAAAACATATGAGAGTCCTCTCTCAACGCAAAAGTGTATTCTAATCTCGAATTGAAGCTCATATGAAGCATCATCAGTCTGAGTCAAACAAATCAAGTGGCCATCTTTGACACTGCAGTCGTGTGCAGGTTTATTGATGATGTGTCCCAACAACAAACAATGGGAGGATGAGAGGACCAATAATTATTTTAATGCATATTTACATATGGGCATGTGAGTACAGTTAAGGTAGGCTTAAATAATGTGAAACTGCCTTCATTTCTGACTAAAAAGAGTAGACCATTAAAATTTTTCAAGTCACTTCCAATTTAATGTTTCAATAGTTTTCTGGAAACATGAGTATGTGCCTTGAAACAAGACCGAATAAAGTAGGTCACTGCACCAGAATCAAGAAAAGACCTGAATTGATTTTAAAATATTTGCTGAAAGTAAAAGTCAATTAAATGATGAGTTGAGTAAGTAATCGACAATAATTTTGGTAAACGATTACTAGTTCAAGTCATTTATGAAGCAAGGATATTCAACATTTGCAGGTTTGAGCTTCTTCAATGTGCATTTGTTGCTTTTTTCTGTTTTATATCATTGTAAATTGTGTTTTGGACTGTTGCTTGGACAAAACAAGCAATTTAAAAATATCACCATGAGCTCTAATTTGACTATTTTCTGACATTTTATAGCTTATATGATGAATCGGTTAAGTTAAAAAAAAAGTCAGTGGCCTCACATTGCTGCAGTGATTTTTAGCAACAGATACTAGGCAGCACAGAGGCTCAGTTATTATTAATTCATCACTACTTTTGCTTTGACAGTATGTTATGAAACTTAAAAATTAATCAGGCTTTGACTGTAGAAAGTAGAAACTGATAAATCCATGCCATGCAAGACTGCAGGATCGATGCTGCAATGAAGTGATTCATACACACACACACACATGCTTGAATTAGTGCAACACATTCACAGTGAGGGAAGCACAGACATGGACTGGATATAGAACTATTGATTAAAAAAAACAAGAGGTTAGAAGAAATATTTGTGAAAAAAAGGAAAATTGCAGATGATGGTTCCCATGTGATTCAAACTGAATTGAGGCAAAACAGGAAGAGAGAGAGAGAGAGAGAGAGAGAGAGAGAGAGAGAGAGAGAGAGCGAGAGGAAAAAGAGAAAGTGTATTCACTGTGGGATCATAACAATACATATGAATAGATGGAGTGATGAGAGGCAAAGAACAGAGGAGAAAGAGGGGGAGTAAGTGCCTTTACTGGAAAACATCTACGCATGTAAAGGCTTGCAGTAAGAGACACAGAGAGCAGACATGAGCAACAAAAAAAATACAGAGACAGCAAGATGCCTCTAAAGAACATATGCAGAGGACACATTCTTGCAGACAAAGACTTCATATGCACGCACACACACAAAAGATACACACAGTGCAGTTATAGGACGGGGAAGAGAGGATAGAAATCCCTCGACATGGTGAAAGAGAGATCAGTCAAAAGAGAGAGTGAAGCTTAGCCTGAAGACAGAATATAACACTGGAAACTGGAGGGTAACAGGTGACTATCAGGGGAAGATGTGTTCATTAGGGGGGAAATTTAACAAGGAGCATGATCAATGGCAAAGTAGTGGGAGGGACAAAACAGAAAAATAGAGATTGGGGGGGTGGGGGGTGGGGGCGGGGGGGTGTGTGCTCTCAAGTGCACTGCTGCTCTCTCTGTGTCTTTGTTCATGTCTTTCCCTGTCGATTCACAAAAACAGGAGTTATATTTGGAGATGCCACCACGTCAGACCCAGACATTTTTAACTGGGGCAAGGGCAGGGCTGTTTTAAACGTGATTCATTTCGACAGCTGTGCATGCACTGGAACCACTCACATTAAGTCTGCATGCTAAGAGGTAAGCAGCTGGCACAGGGACTACCTGAGGATTGTACAACTGTATATGTTTCTCCCACTCCTCTAGTATACAAGTCTTACATATAATCATGGGCCACATGCGTCAGGTCTAAGATTATAACAGTAGTTCTGCAAATATCTGGTCAAAATATCTGACAGAGTGAAATCTTGACCCGATGATGGTGCTATCACCACAGTCACCAAAGTTGTTACAACTCCATCCTCAGGCGAACATGAATGTCTGTACCCAATGTCAATGCAATCCATCCAATAGTTGTCAATCCATCTCACTCTGAGCCAAAAAACATCACCTCATGGTGTTGCTAGGTGAAAATTCAGAGATCACCCAAGTCAGTGCCATTCATCCCCTGGGGACCATGAATGTGTCTACAAAATTTCATGGTGTTGCCATCCCTAAAGCTCTGCCCATAGCGTGGCAGAATCACAAAAAGCTTCTTTTTTTTACCAGTTATCCAGCAGGTTGTAGCATCACTTCAAAGGTATGTTCTTGATCTCACAGATGTGTACAGTCAGCTCAGAATAATAAAACAAGTGCCTGGGGTAAGACCAGCGTTTTAAATCCACTCTGCCCTTCTTCTTCTTCACTGGATGTATGTTAAGTCCACTGCATGAGCCTATGGCAGGCCAGAGCAGAGCATGGCACAGGCTGTGGAAACATTGGTTTACCCCCCAGGCAAATATTTTATTATTTCAGACAGACTGCAGGCATCTGTGAGATGCAACCTCATGCTGTAAAACAGGTTAAAAAAAAAACATTTTTAACCCTAAGCTTTGCCTTGGGAAAGCCCCATGAGCTCCTGGAGTTGGTCTCTACGAACTCCTGACCTGACGTGGCTCCTTAGCTTCTAGGTGGTCCACTAGGTGTTGATGAGGGCACTGAGACTGTCATTAAACCAAAACTGTCAGCTAAAAGAGGCTTAAAAGCTCAGGGGGGCTCCAAGCGACCTCTTTCACATTATACAAGGCCATTTACTACTGCAGCTATAACTACCAAACAGACATAACACCCCTTTTCTTTCAGTGTGCTTTGTACCAGCAGCTGGATCTGATGTTTTGATAACCAACACTTCTTATTTTCTCACCAAGATGACTTTGTGGAGGCAAATATTATGGTAACTAACTCAGTTCTCTGATCTATTTTCATTTATTAGTGTTACAGCCCTACAGCAGACAGAGCAGGAAGAGACCACAGAGCGTCACAGATAAAAAGAAAGAACAACACAGCAGCAGGCCAGAAGATACTGACTGCAACACACTGACAGAAGCCTGAAGATGTTTGACAGGTGGAAGCAGGGAACCAGCAGTGACTGCAGGAGGGAGGGAGGGAGGGAGGAAGGAGGAGGAAGGAGTGATTCTACCTTATAGGCGATTCGGGGTGGACATTTCTTTCCCAAACCTAGTGGAGGGGACATGTCGCGAAGCATCTTGTACATATCGCGGTAACTCATGCGGCCGCTTCCCGGGGGAAAGACGGTGGGAGGCCATGGAAGGAGGGATGAGGATTTCCCAGATGAAGGGATTAAAAGGAGGAGGGGGAAATTGCATCGTAACAGAAAGTGGTAAAAAAAAAATCCAAAAGAGAGAATGGGAGAGAAAAAAGAGGGAGACACAGAAATCCTTGTTAATAAGATTTCCAGGATATGATGATCTGGAATGCCATCCCAGCCGGATTCACAGATTCAGGAATGGATCCCAGAGGAGGAAGGAGGAGAGGATGCTCCGGAGGATTCCCTGTACAGAGATGCTGGATGGAGGGATCCTGGTGGAAGATATGCACTTGGGAATGAGAGTGCATTTTATGTTAAAGGAATACACTGACGTAAATCAATCTTTTGAGTATCAAACACTCATCACCTGTAGGCTCGAAAGTTGGCTCTAAAAAGTTTGTAGCGTATTAATATTATTTTTTCATTTGCTTGTCTAAGAATTCCAGTAAAAGTGGGGATATCAAGTCTTCAACAACAGCACTAGGTTCTGTAGTGAGTTTGGCGTAGTGACCCCACCGTGATGTCCTTGACCCCCCCCAAAATACTAACCCTAACCTTATACAGTCGTTCAAGTAAGAACAATGGAGAATATTTTGAGGGTCACAGATCTTTAACCTAGTCTGTTTCAACTTAACTGGTCTTTAACCTGAAAGTCAACATCAAGATTAGTTGAACAAGTTAATAAAGGTAGCAAGTTAAGATCAGTGGTGAGCTGCTGTCAAGAGACATTTGTGTGTGGTAAGTGTGGTAAAAGGCCACAAGAGTTTGAGCTGCTCCCCTCAATCCCTGTCTGATTGTCCTGTTGTCTTATTCTTTTTAAACTTTGTTTTTTTTGTTTGTTTTGTTTTTTTTTACAAGTTCTGTTATATTCTTTCATTGCTACTGTTCTTTGTTACAGTCAGAAACATAGCTTTAGGAATGTGCTGAACGTACTGATCAACAGGGGAAAAGTGGATTACTCTGCGGGAGTCGTTTGAGTTTCTGTGGATGTTTCTTTCTTTCTCCTCATTTTTTGCCACAGCTGGGATCACCACTGGCACCACAGCTGTCATCCCCGTAAAAGGAGCAGCTACAAACTTTTCAGAGCCACGGGGGGGGGGGGGGGGGGGGGGGGGGGGGGGTGGTATTTCAGACTCAAACGATAGAGTGAAAAAGTTTTGGTGGAATATTCCTTTAAGATGCCCTCTGTTTCTGCATGCCAAGAGACATCAGCAGTAACCACAGTGGAAACAAAGCACACAATGCTCTCTCTTCACTACCCACTCCTCTTTCACTCCTGTGTTTAGAAGCAGGAAAATGTTAGACATCGCATGTGATGCCGTTTGTTTGAGCCTGACTTGCGGCATTGTTTCCTGCACTCGCCATGGTTACCTGCCAGCTGGTTAGTGGAGGATCGATGCATGTTTGTATGTGTGTTTGGTCGGGTCATTCTCTGGCACCGCAGGGAATGAGAACAGACATTCACAGTCCGAAACCATCACGGTCCCTTTGAAAACAAAAGGACTGTGTGGGAGTGCAAACCTTATAAGCCACCCTGTTAGGGCACTTCTTCCCCAGGCCCAGAGGAGGCGAGATAAAACGCAACAATTTGTACATATCCTGATAGCAAATCCTCCCGCTGAAAAAGATGAGACACGTTCAAGAGGTTAGGTCACAGGATATTTCATTACATCTATCTATGATATTCTATTATCTGTTAGAGGGCATTAACACTCAGGAAAATATCAAGCAGTGGAAGCATAGAAAATACAATATAATCTTTAGTTTCAGTTTTTATCTTTCTAACTAAATTTGAGAATGTGCTCATTTTGAATATTAAAATCATTTACAGCTCTGCTGCATTCAGAGCGAAAGTCTAATTACAGTTTCTAATCTCCCTCCAAGATGTCAGGAATTAAATTATTGGTGATTTTTTTTTTTCTTCTTTTTTTGGCCTAAGAGTATTCAGGTTATGTAAAATATGTAAATGCTTGATTGTGGAAAGTAAACTTCCCCACAAAACACCAAAATTCCCAGAAAAGATTAGGACAAGGCTACGCCCTTGTGTTTATCGTAAACTCAAGTGGACATAGAAAAAAAAAATGCTTTAAAGTGTGAGGGACATGAAGTCCAGTTTAAAACATCTGCTCCTTTAACAGGAACCAGTGAAAACCAATAAACACTGAAAACGATGAGCTTTAAATTCATTCCTTGCTGCAATCTGACATAATGATGAGTTAAAGCACTTGGAAATGTGCTGAATGTTACTGTAGACACCTCTGAGAGCAGCTCGTTTATATTCAAGAGTATAAATAATAATTCCTCCCCCATTATGTCTGTTAGGTGATGGCAATTTCACATCTCACACCTCTCCTGGAGTCCTGACTCACTGACAAGGCTCCTGCGAAGCCTTCGTTAAAACTTAATGAGCCTTACATAATCTGAGACAGATTACGCCTCACACCGTCTCACTCAAAACTTGCATTGTGCTTTAGTCACAAGTTAAACAGTGTGGGTGTAAGGGGCAGAGAGGGCGCTGACATAAACCTGTATTCCCTTGTTGGAGGCACAGGAATCGTTTCTCTTCACACCACTGTGACAGACTGAGGAGCTTTGGAGCTTAGCGGCGAGGAGGGCTGAGTGGACGCCGAGCGGAACGCTGGATTTACATGCATCAGTCCGGCCGACAGGGGAGCTCGTCACCAGCCTCAGCCTACACTCCGGGCTCAGGCTTTATGTCATTCACCCACTGCTCCTAAAATGGGATTTTTCCACTTCCACGTCACAGAGTCATCCTGCTGGAACTCAGAAACCGCTCTGAGAGTTTCTTGTTTCCTCGCCCTCCCTCTCTTTCAAAATCTACCCTCCCTCCCCCCCATTTTAACACAATTGTACTAGTCAGAGGTCATGCGGCCGCAGCACCTACCAGGCAGCGGGGTCGTACTCCGCCCACACACGGATGAATTCATCAAGGTGATGAGGCCCCAAAATGGAGGCGTCCCTGGTCAGGTATTCAAAGTTGTCCATGATGACAGCGACAAAGAGGTTCAGCATCTGGTGAATGAAAACAAAGATTTTAATCTGAATAGAAAGATTAGAAGATTAGTGAAGAGAAGATCTCCATTGATTGACAACGTTACTTAATACTTAATACTAATAATAATTATAAGATTGTATAATTGAGATTATGTAATTTCTGTTTAAAGGACCTTATTGGTGGATGGGCATATCGAGCCCTGTTCACCATGTTGTCTGCACTGGTTCATTTCCTACATGTGATATGCATTTTATCAGAACTGACCCCATTTGCAACTCCACTGAACCACAATCATAACATAACACCACTTTGCTGTTGTTGGCAACCATTCATCAATGATCTCTTTTCTTAATCGTATGGGTTTAATTCAAAAACCAAGCATGAACTCATCTGTTTATTTTCATTACTAGATTATAAATATGTGTCAACATTGCATTAAAAAATCAGTAATACAAAGATCTAGGTGATCTGATTAAAAATTCCATTTACAGAGCAAACACTCAGTGGTTTAACAGAGGTTGTTTAGAGGATTTCCTCACATTATCAGCAGCTCATTTGCATTTTCTTCCAATTCTTCTCTTTACTTTCTCTAACTGGCAACATTTTCTGAGTCATGCGCGTTGCAAGATGTCCCTATTTACTGTAAATTACAAACAGGCTTTTCTCACAGCAGGAAACTTAACTTTTGGATTCATGGGATGTGAACTGGGGTGAAAATAAGTTCAAACCATGTTTAAGTTTGCTCTCCTTTTTTTAAAAAAAAATGTTGATGTTTTTAGATCATTAAAAAAAAAGAAGATGAGAATTAGTAACAATGCTCTAACTTCCAGCAAGTAGTTGACAGGCTGAAACGAACTGCTGGACGGGACGAGTCTCTGTTTTTTCTTCATACTGACCAGGAAGGAACAGAGGAAGATGAAGGAGACAAAGTAGAAGTAGGCAAAGTCACTTCCACACTCCTTCCCTAGAGTTCCTGAGAGCTTGTCACACAGTTGGTTACTGAGACACGATAACATGATCTCATGCCACGCCTCGCCTGTCGCACTCCTGCAACACACACACAGATCACAGTAAAACTACGCGCACGTGTGCACGAAGAGTGGAGGCAAACACTGCTCAACCGTCTGCGATATCAGCAGTTACTGGATTATTTGTGGTAAAAGGCGTTTTGGAGTATGGAAGGAGGATTACCTGAAGAGAAGCGTCAAGGCCTGGAAAAAGGTCTGGAAGTTGTTGTGGTGATTTATGGCGGTGTCCTCATTCAGCTCGATGTTTCCAAACACCTGAGAAAGCAGCACAGTTACCTCAGATGAGAGATTTCTATTTGTCTTTTTTTTTTTTTTTCTCCCAGGACTTTTCACTGATATCAAGAGGGCAAAGCTCAGTGGGGAATACAGGATGTCACATACATACTTCCTGTGCACCAATCAGGATTTTGCACCTTTTGAACCAGACTCTGATGACAGTTACTGAGTTGTTTTGTTGTCCACCCTCCTGATGAAGCAGATTATCAGAGTTTTTAACGATAAAACTCTTGATAAATAATAATGTTAGGAATAATATTTTTTTCAGACTCTGACTGTTGATCTGACCCTGACTATCTAATGTTTCCATTGGTTTCAGACCTGAACAAACTGAATCCAACAGGTGAGAGGCCTGAGCCTGAATCTGAACCACATCGGTTCATTCAATTAAACCTTATCTTATGAAGTTTTTTTTTTTTTTCCATTTTCTTGATTTATTTTTTCTCCACAGTAAACTATGTGTATATTGCATTTACTCCGGCTTCCTGCCACAATCCAAAGACATGAAGGTTGAGGTTAAGTGGTGACTCTAAATTGCCTGTGGGTGTGAATGTGAGTGTGAATAGACTGGTGACCAGTTCAGGGTGAACGCTGCCCTCACCCAATGTCAGCTGGGATTGGCTCCAGCCCCTCCATGACCCCATAAGAATAAGCGATATGGATAATGGATGGATGGATGGATGGATGGATGGATGGATAGATAGTGGGTCCTACTATGATTCCAGTAAAACAACCAGAGGCCTTTTTTGAAATATTCATTTGCCCCTTGGCGTGTCCATCCTGCTGGCCTATAAACGCTGGCTCCTGGGCCCAGGAGACCTGACAGCAGTCAAATATGAATGTAGCATCTTGACCCTGTACAGGAACAGCAACTGGTTACTTCTTCAGCACTAACACCATAATCTCACATACACTTTGAGGGGAATAAGGACTAGGCGATCCTTTATATATATTGCCTCCACTAAATCCACTAAATCAAATATCTGTACAATATTATGCAATTCTTGTGATGTGTACTTGGTTTGTGAAGCTTATGAATATAATTTTTTTTACTAAGCCTCAGTGTCAGGATACAATACGAAAACACAACAACAGCACAAACTAGGACCTCACAAAGGAACTGGATCAACCGCCGACTGACAAAAACTGTTGTGTTGGATTGATATTGTGCAGATGTGACTCATACTTTCCTCCTGTTTTAAATGTCTCTGGAGAGGAGAGGAGAGGGGCTCACTTTGTGCAGGCTGCGTATATCTGAGCCCATCCACAGACTCACCCTTCTTTCACTTCAATATAACTGACAGATATGAGAGGGGCTCTGATCTTCTCATCTAACTTTCAAACGTCTTACCGCTCGCTGATCCTAGATGCTGAGGATTATGTACGACCACTACTAATGATAGTTGTCTTGCAGTAGGTAGTAAGAAAAAAAAACTAACAGGAGATCGCAGACGATGTCACTCATGCACAGTCTGTACACACCCCCACAGTCCTGAGACGAGGTCTCATCAGCCAAAACAGTTAAAGGGGTACCTTTGGGCGAGTTCCATGGGTTTTCAGGTTATTGAGAAATGCGACATTTCTAGGAGGCATCCATTATAGATGATTACATTCAGACTCGCTTTAGTGCAGCTGATGTGCCCACTCACCTGCATTCCAATGATGGCATAGATGAAGAACAGCATAGCGATGAGCAGGCAGACATACGGCAGAGCCTGAAAACAAACATGTAAACACAGCTTAAAGACACTCAGAGCACAAACAGATACACGTCACCACACATTTTTAAGTAGTCACTCCTCTCTCTCTCTCTCTCTCTCTCTCTTTCTGTCTCACACACACATGCAGTTATTGTAAGCATTGGACATACACAAAACCCTTTGAGCATGTTTTTTGATCTCTCTCTCTTTCTCTGCACACACACACACACACACACACACACACACACACACACACACACAAAGCTGATTCTCCACAGAGTACTAGCGCCGGTGTAAGATTTTACAGTCGTATTTAAGAAACAGAGCAGTCAACCTGACCTGCAGGGTCGATTCTTTCAACCAGCTATTTATATCTCTGCGAGGAGGAGGTGAGCATTTGTTGTAATTAAATAGCCACCTTTTAACACTCTGCAGCTACTGTCCATTTTCATTGGGCTTAAAAGCTCTCACCACTGACATTAAAGCTGCTACAAATTCCCTCGGCTGCGCCCCAGCGCTCCGCATTTAACTCAACTTGTCCCAGGGGATTTAGAGAGCAAACCGGCACTGTGTGAAAATCCGAACTGCTGTCTGCTGAGAGCTATTTAGTTCGATTTTAACACTAACAGAGGAACTCGGCAGCGTGTCTCTGCCGGCTTTCAAGCCTTCTATCACACTATTTCTATTCTGCGTGATATCCATTTATTCGACTATAAATCTAACAATAAAACTATACATTTCTGTAATCTCTTTCTGTAAAATGCCTGCTACATAAAAACAGTTTACTTACTCACTCAACATGTTTTATATACTTATCCAGAGGCACATACTGTAAGTTGTCATGTTTGGGTCACTGTGTGTGTGTGTGTGTGTGTGTGTGTGTGTGTGTGTGTGTGTGTGTGCGTGTGTGTGTGTCTCATCACCTTGAAGGACTGAACGAAGGTCCACAGCAGGATGCGGATGGTGTAGCCCTGCCGCAGCAGCTTGATGAGACGAGCAGCTCTGAACAGCCTCAGAAAACTCAGGTTGATCATCTTGTCCTGGGAGAGAAAACAGGGACGTATTACACCCAAAATTACAACATTTTGCCTCTTTAGCCCTACTTGGTCTCTTATGACCAGCAGCTTATACTGGCTAATGCTAGTAAACTTTATATATAGTAGATGTTGCTGTGGAAGTGACAAAACTGAGACAGTCTGCTAACTTCAGGAATCTTTTGTACATGTGTGACTGTTACTTACTCTTGAAGCTTCATTTAAATTAATCTCATAGAATTATCGGTATAACTAATCAAAGTGAATTCGGTTGGTTATTTAATACAAATTAGCAACAAAGTAATAAAAACCAAAACCAAAAACCGAAATACAACAGGAATGAAATTGGCTGAAATCGGTCTGTGTCACAGACTCTGATTTTTTCATCTGAGTCTCCTCAGTTCCCCAAATCCAAGCAGCACAGATGGCAAAGACTAGATCACTAGTGTAAGAATCTGTGTTTTTGCTTTCCTTCAACTATTTCAATTGACTTGCACTGTAAAAATCTCAGTTTGAACGAGTGAGTACGACAAGTACAACACATTACTAACAAGTACAAAACATGCCACTGGATGAGACAAAGTAATCTAGTTGAAATCCAAATCTTTTTTATACTGGTGCACTGATCTGACGAACAACAGAAAGTGCAGGGACTGGAGACTATAAACCACTTTTCTTTTCTTTTTTTTTTGCAGTGTATATTTTCACGTCAGATCTTATGCAACTCAAATTTCTCCAGATGATGATGTCGTTGTTCAAGCAGACATTTCTAACAGTTTTATAGGTCTCCTTCTTTTATATCATGTCACACTGAGGATTCAGTAGGTAGACACTTCAAACTAAGACTGCGGGAGAGAACAACACACACTGACGGGGGGGAAATGACAAAATCAGCGGCCAACAAGAAAAGCCACTTACCGTCTAGAGGTGTCAGATGTGACAGAGTGAGGGCACAGGCGCCAGGAAAGACACAGCAGAAGATGGAAACAGCAAAAGAAGGGGGGAAAAAAAAACAGAGAGGGAAAGCGAGAGAGAAGAGACAGAAAGGAGAACTAATGATCACATAAAGAGAGAGAGACAGACTTTGCCACACAGAAAGCTACAGTGCCCGGCCTCAGTCCTCTGTCTCCGTAATCAAATGCGTTTGTCTATTTGTCTTCTGCTGTAATTCAATAGAAGAAACTAAATGCTCCGAACTGTAATGGCAGTAATGCTCCTCCCGTTGCCCTGCGTCTGCCTTTGTTTCATGTATTGATTCTCAGGATTTCATATTTCTGCTCTTGGTTTGCTCGGCTGAGCTTGTGATTTGAGGACTGAGAGCACGAGAGCAAAGCATGACTTCTACATCCATGATTTGAAGCTGCAACGCTTTGGTCAGATATAAAGAAAAAAAAAAAGGCCCATCAATAATGAAGACAACAGCATGTAAATTAGTGTGCGAATAATTAGTCAAGTAATCGCTTATGTCAGTGAGTCAACTGCCAAAAAAAATTCAATTTTCATTTCAATCGACCATTTCTATAACTGGACAGCGGTGAGGGTTTGCTGCATCTGTATCACTGTAATTTGAAGATCTTTGGTTTTTAAACTGTTGGTCGAATAAAACAAGGAACATGAGGATGTCAGCTTAGACTCAACAACAACATGTGATGGGCATTTTTCACTTTCTCTGACTTTTTATAGATTAAACAATTCATCAATTAAAAAAACAATACAAAGACTAAACGAAAAACTTACTTGCCAACCCAATGTAAATGTTCATTATAAAAATAACTACTGTATATGAACTACATCCCAACTTCATACATCATCACAGTTCTCCTGACTCTACTTCCTGTATCACAGCATGCTGCCCTGCTATTGTCTCAACCACTGCTTGCAGGTATGATGATCGCTTACCTTAATCTCTGTGACCAAGATGTCGGTGATGCTTCCAAGCACAGTCACAAAGTCAAACACGTTCCACGCTGCTTTCAGGTAGTTCTACAAGACATAGACGACACATAGATCAGACAGGACAGAGGGAATTCATTCACACTTTTAAATGTTCAGCGTTTTCTTTTTTTATATCTTTAATACTTTTTTGTAATGAAACAGGGGGATCCACCATGTTTTCAACCCTTATCATCTTTCAAACTTTCAACAGGTCATCACTTTTTATTTTCAATCCTACTGGCTGAGCTTTTTTTTTGTACATCTTATACTCACAAAACCTTGAGAGTTCATTAGAGAGCCAGTGAAATGCAAACAGCGGCAAGACAAAGTGAGTGAAACCTCTGGATTTGTCTTAAAATATGGTCAGATCTTAAGTTACAATAACGAACAAACTCAAGCTATTTTAATCTTCTTGTCTAACCTTGCTTCGTTCTTGTCCATATTGAATAAATCATTAAAACATTCACGGGTGGAAAAAGTTCATCAGTCCGCAGTCACACAAACTGTCTATAAATGGAGATGACTTAGTTCTGTAGGGAGTGACTGCCCAGCTAATACGACCCGGAAAGCTCAACCCAGAATGATCAGTGAGGTAAAAAAAAAAGTCAAGGATTCATTGGAGCTGGTTAACATCTCTGTCCATGAGTCTATCATACGCCAATCAGGGTGTATGTCTGTGCAGCAGCATGGAGCATTATGTCCATGGCAGGACACCAGGGAGGAAGCTGCTGCTCTCTAACAAAACCACTTTACTGAGCTCTGAAGTTTGCCAAAGAACAGGTTGACACTCCACAACACTACTGGGAAAATGTTTTGTGGACTGGTGAAACTACGGTTGAATTGTTTGGGAAGAACACACAGCACTGCCATCGGTGAAAGAAAGGCACTGCATACCAACATGAAAACAACAGGAGGGAGCACCGTGATTGGTTCTTTGCTGCCTCTGGGTCCGGGCAGCTCGACATCATCAAGGGGGAAAATGAATCCTCAAGCTTCCATACTTTCTTTCTCGCCACTGCAACTCTTTTTGCGGGAACAAGTTCATACAACCGCTGCAGGAAGTAAACTTTAACGTGACATAATTCTACTAATTTAAATGCACAGTTACAGTCTATGTATAAGGTCAAATATATACCTCACAAAGGGAAATGTAGATATGCAGAAGTTGCAGCGACGTACGAACATGTTCCCAAAGAATGGAAGAAAAAAAAAAAAAAACTCTTCAAACGACCTCTAGGGCACAAAATTCTATATGTGCATAGACAACACACACAAATGTTGACACAGTCCCTGCATAAACCAACTGCTGAGCCGCCGCCGCCGCCGCCTGCAGCCCGGATCCCCTCAGACTGGTCAATCATCCAGCTCCTGAGGACAGAGGCTGCTGCCAGGCCCTGCAGCTGCAGTCTGAAGAGATGCAGCAGCTCAGTGTCGATACCAGCAGATGCAAACCCATTCGTCTGGGCTTAACAGCTAAACAGGTGGAGGTAAGTGGTGTGTGAGAAAAGCTATTTAATAAATGGGTCTCGTAAATGGAACGGAGCCAGAGATGAAATGCCTCGCTGGAGGCCAGACGGCCCCATGTTGAGAGAAGATTTATTCTTTTTGCGCACTCTTCTGTTTGTCCCCTTTTTTTGTTACTAGTTCACCCTCCTCATTCCTGAATTTGAGACTTTAAAATTATTATTTTGCACCTTTTAATTGGTGTTTTTAACAAGTTTAACACCCTCTAATTTTTTTTTTTTTTACATAACCCTTAAAAATAAAATCACAAGAAACACCCATCCAAGTTTCTCACAGTGTGACTGTCCGTCTGTAACGGCTGACGCTAAAGACCACATCTCAAAATTCTTACAAATGATTTCAACATTCAAAAGGATCAATGGAGGACTCGGGCACAGTTACAGCTGTTTAACGCAGTCACCCTCAGACCGATATTTCTGGCTGTTTTGCATATTGAAAGGGAGATTTTCTTTCATGTGTGTAAACAGAAACACAACAGTGAATAATTGTCTAGTGTTTACAGAGTGCCGCGCAGCATATGGTGTTGACAGCTCACCAGTGGACCGAAGGCAATAATCTTGAGGACGCACTCCAGTGTGAAGAGGGCTGTGAAGACGATGTTTAAGTATTTCAGCATGGACTCGTAGAGGTCTGGAGCTCCGTAGAACTGGGAACAAAAGGAGAAACACACGCTGAACATATGTTGAAAGATAATAGGGAAGAAGTATCTTGGACAGATCAGATATGACACTCGCACTACGAGTGTAAATGTAACCAAGAAGCTTTACGGACAACTTCTATTTTATTGCTAAGATGCAGAACGTTTGGATGTGTAGCAGGATGTTTAAAAGGTGTCTAAATGCATCTGTCAATCCCAGCTGCACATATAAATTCTAATCCTCTCACTATCAGTGGGGGGGCCGTGTCCTGCCACTGCGATAATGGCAGGTGATTGTGACGCTGAAACTGTCTGGGCCTGTGTGTGTTTTTGCCGCCGTGTATCTGTGTTAGTTTCTGTTCAGCGTTAGCCCTCATCCACTTTTAGTCACTCAGGAATTCATGTGTCACAGGAAGAAAGAAAATATAACATGGAAATGCAAACAATACTGTCAGACACAGTATATGCTGGATTAAAGCTTGTGGCTCACTGAGCGCACTGATGCTGAGCAGCACTGCAGAGAGCAGGTGAGGAAGAAACTTTAAAGAAAGTCGTGAACTTATGTTCCTTTTTTCCCACATGAAAGGTCCCTGATTAGATTTCTTTCTCTTCTCTGAGTCTGTATTCTTATCGTGGGAATGTCTGAGTGAATGTTCCCTCTGATAACTCTCCATCACAGTCCTGGATATGAGCTAGTTAGCTAGTTGTTAGTTAACTAAATATTTTACACAACGTTTGGCTACTCCATCCTCTTTTCTTCTGGTGTTTTTGGCAGGTGACAAACAGCTTTAGGTTTGTTACTGTCACCTTCTCTCGTGGAGTTTTAGTTCATTTTGTTTGAAATAACTCATTTAAAAACTAATCCTGGTGAAACTGGATTTCTTATCTGGCTACCGGAGGCACACATGTGGCTGAGCTTCAGTGAAAACTCCTGGAGGCTACTGTACCAGGTCAAGAAACACCCATACACAAAATTGTTGTTATAGTTTTTAAACTCTGTTTTCGTACAGTTTAAACAAATGAGATATAGTGCATTAATCAGTGAGCTTTAGAGGTAAGAAGATTTAGTTACAGAGCCAGATTAGCGGTTTCCCTGTTTGCCAGTCTCCAGCCTCTGGCTGTAGCTTCACATTTAAAGGACAGATATGAGAGTGGTATTCATCTTCTCCCTTCTCCAGCTCTCTACCGGAGAGCGATTAAACACATTTCCCAAAATGTCGAACTTCCTTCAAACAGTATATATGAGCAGCCTTTCAAAGTGCCGACGGACAGACAAAAATACAGTAGACAAAGATCTATGGATGACAGCACAGTGCTGTTATTAAAGTCACCTAATAGTACAGCATAAATAAATAAAAACAGGTTAGTCAGTAGTTCAAATTTTTCTTTACTGCTCCACTCTTCCTGCTGCCTGATTTAAAACGACATAGGATACTATGATAATAATCTAACCCAACAAAAAGAAGTAAACTCGAAACGTCCTTGGATAATGTAGAAGTTGTTTTCACTCGTGGAGCTCCTCCCCGTCACCAGCCTGCGTTACACACTGGCTCTTTCATTCCCTCACAGATTTTCTCCTCTGAGTAGATGAATAAAGGAACTGCCAAGACACGAGCTCTTCTCTCTGAGAGCAGCAGGCAGTGTTTGGCAGAAGTGTCACAATGGTGTGTTGGCTGTGGAGCTGTTTGATTTTTAATTGTTGACCATGTCTCAAGGCCAGACCACTGTGGCTGTTGTAATTGCATCTCCGCCTTTAGAACTAAATTATTAAATAGTTCAGATTTATGGAAACAGTTTCTTGCAATCCTTTTTAATATTTCAACAGTGTGTTGTATCACACTGGGAACTGAATGAGTATCACTGCACTACTTTATTTTGGCTGAGAAGCATCTGAGAGGAATCGGTGCTTTGCCTCATTAGCAGGAGGAATCACTGACCTTCATCATCAGCACGACAGTGTTGAGGGCGATTAAAGTCATGATGGCGTACTCGAACGGAGGCGACACCACAAATTTCCACATCTTGTACTGGAAGGACTGTTTGTTCTCTGGCATGTATCTCGTCAGCGGTTTGGCGTTGATGGCAAAGTCGATACAAGCTCTCTGTTGGATGAAAAAGCAAAACAAAAACAGACCCGTGTATGAATCCTCTCACACCTTTCATCAAAGAAGAAAAAAAGCGCTGGAAATTACATCTAATAACATAAAAGACAGCTGGCAAGCCACCAGAGGATTGTCTAAACATTTTGTAATATCAAAAGATGAGCTGCTCTTTGATCACCAGCCAATACTTTACAGACAAAAAAAAAACAAAAAAAAAAAAAAAAACAGCATGATTTTAACAAAGTCCCTGTGAAGTGGAGATGAAGAGAGCAGGGAAGATAAACCCCACTGTTTTCCTTTTTAGGACTTTATTCTGTTTGAGGGAATTGTAAGTCTTGTCAGATATAATTTGCCTGCAAGTGATATTTAGAAGTGGATCAGCATATGCTCTGATTTCTAATGAAGACAACATTTGTGATGGATGAGACAAACATTTTCAGAAGCTACTACTTCTTCAGAGATAATCAGTGTGTGTTATGGTTGCATGTAGGGTGGGGGAAGAAACTACGTCTCTTTCCACTCTCCCACCTCGTTCTTCTCCAGGCTACACTCCGACATGGCCTTGTCTCCCTGCTCCTGAAAGGTTATGATGATCAAAGCCACAAATATGTTGACGAAGAAGAAGGGGAACACCACGAAGTAGACCACATAGAAGATGGATGTCTCCATGCGGAAGCCCGGGCTGGGGCCCTGATCCTCGTAGGTAGCATCCACAGAGTGCTTCAGGACCCTGAAAAGAAGGGAGAAGGAGACCTGATGAGAGATTCACAGGCAACCGACCCTGTAAGAAATACACACCAGGCTAAAAACGCGGAGTGATGCCTGGTAAAAATATCTGTAGAGATTCAGTGAATTCAGGTCCTTCCTCTGTTCTCTTCCTGGAGGGGACATATCCCTCTACGTTTATTTTGTCAGACTTTTACAAAAATATTTCCATAACACTTCAATTAGAGAGTTACAGAGCTCCATATTTTCCATTTCCAGGCACAGTCAGGAGCCCTGCACGCCTTGAGCAGAGGATATGGCGGTGTACTTTCTCCAAGTCTACACACTCGCAGATTATTACAGGTGTCAACGGGAGCCAGAGGAGAGAGAGCTCTCCTGCTGTTGGAATCAGCAAGTACTTTATGGCACAGACTTGTTGAGCTCTGTCTCTACACTTTCCATAAGCTGGTTTATAGTTCGTTGCTGTGAGTGAAGCACTTTGTAACTTTTGGAAAGTGCTCGCCAAGAAAACATGACAATGGTGTATTTGAATTACCATGATTGTCACTGAAGCCATTTCAGATTTTTGTTATTAAACATGTCAGAATAAAAGTACTTCACTCTAATTATAGAAAAGCATAAGATGTAACTTTTGTCAAGTGTTTGTAGAAAGCAAAGTATAATTTCTTCATTTTCCCAAACTGTTAAATACTGTCTATCTTAATGTAAACTTCAGTTGTGGTCACTGTGTTATTGTGCTGTCACTACTTGTTTAGAAGTGTGTGAATGTAGACGATCATGACAGGCTCACTCAGTTTAACAATTTACAATGAATGAAATAAGCAAACGGGCCATCAACGGCCCTCGACAGAGATGATGATGATGATGTTGATGAATATGCTCATGGTGCTTTAGCTCAGGCACAGAGAGGCAGACTGAAGCCAGGGATGCAATGGGCCCTGATTGCGTCTTTAGAGGATGCACAGTAATTAAGGCTGGTAGAAATCAGCTGGGTTTAATCTGCACGGTGCTGTCTGCCTGCAGGTGTGCCGACTGTGTTTCGGGACAAATCACTGAAGGAAATTCAAACATGGAAAAGATTAGATAATTCAACAATGCTTCAAATACTCAAGCATTGATTATCAGCTACAAATTGTAAAATGGCCTCTTGACTCTCATTCTTTACTTTCATTCCTTACACACACATATATATGGTTCATATTCAGGCTGGAAACCACTGTGTGTACAGCTGACTTAATGTGTTATTTTATGCATGAAAGGTGCTGTCCACATAAAGTGACGTGGAGGTCGACAGTCCGGACTTACAATGGCCAGCCCTCCCCGGTGGAGACGGTAAAGAGCGTCAGGAAGGCCCAGAGAACGTTATCGTAGTGGAAGTCGTACTTCTTCCACTCTCTGGGCTGAGCTGTTATGTCATCCCTGTCGTAGTCCAGAAACTGACCCCTGAGAGAGAGACGCATGGAGAAACAGTCTCAGGCGAAATGTCACACGAAATATGATCAAAACGCGTGAAGGACACAAAATGTGAAATACAGGAACCAGGAAGTTAAAATAAAAGAGGAAAAAAGCAACTAAGAGTGTTTAACAAGTGGAATGGAAGATTAACAAGGGTACGTTTGGATGACGTACCTGCAGTCTTTCTCCAGATCCTTGGACTCGTCGGTGCAGTAGAAGAATTTGCCCTTAAACAGCTGCACGGCGATAACAGCGAAGATGAACATGAAGAGGATGTAGACGATGAGGATGTTGAGGACGTTCTTCAGAGAGTTTACAACACAGTCAAACACGGCCTGAAAAAAATATTTATACACAAACAAACACACACACACTCAATACACGTACATATCTGCACAGGGTTCTGAAGAGACTACACTGATGCACATTCACATTCCCAGGAGGCTAATGCCAGCTGTTACTGGTTTGTTTTCTGTTACAATTCGTTTCAATACAGATGAAAACTGAGTGAAATGAAAAATTCATAAGGCAGAAATCTGGCTAAAAATTGTATTAAAGAAAATACCACTTGCAGCTCAAAACCCCTACTCTCATTTTTTATAACAGGAAGTGTATTCTGAGTACAACAGGCCTCAGTTGAAGAAAAAGTTTAATCAAAAAGCATCAACTCCAAATGATAATGTGATTCAACATATGTTAAAATTGGCAAACATCTCTAACATGTATGAGTAGAAGTATGAGCTCTATGAGCTTTACGGAGCATAACTGGCTCATTCGAAACAAACTATTAACCTAAGTGCAACATGATTAAATCAAATCTGGTTATTTTGTTTAAAAAGCTTTGTGCCTGATTGAAAAACCTTCCCATCAGCTGTAATTTATGTTTTCCCAAGGCAAATGCATTTACTCTGCTCACACTTTGTACAGTACCTATCCTGTAAACATGTTTTTTTTAGTGATGAAAAGATGGAAAGAGACTCACCAGAAAAACAACACCACTGTTTCTTAAGGCAAACAGTTCAAAATGTTCTCACAATGAACTTCTTGTGATTGTGTAAATAATGACTGTTGTCTGTCAGAAGCGCTGAAGTAACACGATGTTATTCTTAGAGTGGATTTCAGGGTGGATGAAAAATGTGTCGGAGTTTCACACTGAGACTTTGTCTCATTCCAACATTTAACACTGGTTTCATTTATCCATGACTTGGATCTGTCCCCAAACTTAACCTAAACTGAACTTGACCCTATCCAAGTAGTTTTAGATGCCTAAACTTTATGAAACCGGATCAGAAGATGTTGTTTGGACTGAAGTTGAACTTGTTGGCCAAAAGAAAGACTTTACTTAATAACTATATTTCAATTTGTAACTAGAACCTGCTTTATGATGAAATACTCAGTAAATGCTGTTGAAACAATGTTTATATTTAACATAGACATCTAAAAACCTACCTTCAAACCAAATTCAGCCTTATTTTAACCTAGATGTCCAGACGTCTTATGGCCTGCAAACTACAAAATCAACTGCTTCCTGAGTACATGAACGCAGTCGGTCTTTGTGCCTCTCTACCTGTCACTCTCTCTCTCCAGAGATTTCCCTCTGTCAGCTTGCGCTGTGATCTGTCCGTGAGATAAAGTGCTTCGTCTATGTATCCTGACATGTATGCAATCTAACCAATGAATATGCTGCTGCATGAATGACCGCCATCGAGGCTTCTGTCTCCAGAGTGAGGATGGAGCGTAATTCACCGCTCCTCTACCAGCCTGTCCGTCAAACTTCTCTGTCCAAGTATCCAAGAGTTGTGGGTGCGTGTCTGTCTGCCAGCTCTGATCTCTCTCAATCATCTTGCCTCTATTACTCCAATCAGATCTTTCATCTTTTGTCAGATCCATCACTTTTGGACGATCAACTGCCTTCACGCACCAGAGGGAAGCTGTCATCTCTGCGTCAGAGGAAACAGTTGAGGGTCTCGCCTTGATGAGGGTCACGACAGCATCTTCTCATTATTACGGATTCCTCACTTCACTCTGCTTGAGATTCTTTCTCACTCTGTAGAATTTGAAATTTTGCACGTTTGGCAACCCCCACTGAGATGGCTAATTTGTCTCTAAACATAATATTAAAATTTCGCTGTTATTATCTGAGAGGTGGCAAAATAGCATCTTCAGTTCTGCTGATGTGCAGCTCACCATAAGTACTTTCAGATTCTGATACTGAAGATTTGTAATACTTTGAGTTCTGTACACTTTTCTCAGATTTAATGGCTCTCTTCTGAGCACAGTTCAAGAAGATACTTCTGTTAATATACAGTAGAAACACTGGACTTTGCTTCTTTTTTTTTTGTAAGTGCAGTAAATGATGTAAATGTGTGTAAATTCAGTACATTTTATGTAACACATGAGGGCAAAATAAATGTAAACACCAGATAGAATCAGACTTCATCTCTGCAGTTACAAAACACTACGACGAAAAATGGTTCATATTCAATCGAATGCCTGTTTGTCAGCTGTAAGAGATGAATGGCAGTCAACACATTGTAATGTCACAGCTAACTGAGCTTCAAACAGGCCGAATGATCGAAAAAAAAAACCCAAACCAGTCACTAAAAATCAAGCCAGGTTCTGCCAAACACAGACAAATTACAACTTTTCACAAGCTGAAACTACACTACGTCACAAGCATATTCAGTGTAAATGGAGTTGACTGCTAACCGGCAGTGACAGTATTTCCAATGGTGATTAAGAAAGTAAAGAATTACACCTCCATCTTCACACAGCTGCCTACTTGTAGGTTTGAAAGGTGGAGAACATAGTCACTCTAACGTGACAATCAATTCTGATGGTGACTCAGTTTCCTGGTTAAAAAAGTAAAATCTAAATGTCACATCTCCACTTTCTATGTTTATGTTCACTATGTTCCAAATGTTTATATTTTTGCCAGAATATGAGTTATGTGTTCATTAGCAGCCAGCTAGCTGTCAGCATTCATCATTCTTGAATAGTTTAGCTAACATAGCCGGTTGCTCCAAAGGTAAACAGCTAACTATGCTACAGACAAACAGAAGCTAATGATCTATTTATGCATATTCTGGTAAATTTATGAGTGTGTGGCTCATACTGACCATACAGGTGGTGGTTTGAGAGGTTTTTATGGATCATTTTGACGCTGTGTTTTCATTCTTACTCAATTTTTGCTGTTTTTGCTGCTGTGAACCAATTCAGTACAGCTGTGTGAGTGTTTGAACCTCAAAACACATTTTCTCAGTGGTTTGACCTCTTGTATCTGTGTCCAAATCTTTAGAGGAGGGCGTTCTGGGAAATGCAGGCTTTCAATAAGCCTCCTCCACAGAATTGCTTCAGTAAAGGAAAAAAATATTCAGTCATTTACTTCCAATTTGTGTGACTATAACTCCTCTCGTCCCTCCACAGCCCAGAACGCAACCAAAGGTCCAACAGCTCCAATCTTTCAGAGAGAGCTATATATGAATCTGATTTATAACCAATCTAAACACATCTGTTTTAAATCACATATACCCATTCCTGTTTGATAAACAGTCCTGCAAATGCATTTGATTCATGATAGTGTGAGCGACTGTCACCGACTTCTGCACCAGCTGCTCCCTTGTTCTGTTTTTCTCAGAATGGACTGGGTGGGTGACAGATTGGATTACGGTACCTTCAGCTTGGGCAGCCGTTTAATGGTCTTGAGTGGCCGCAGGACTCGGAGGACCCTGAGGGACTTGATGGTGTTGATGTCCTTGCCTTTCGTCCCTCTGTGCAGAGCGAGAGTACAATCAGTCCGGGTGATGTAGTGTAACCGATAATCATGTAAACCCTCTCATCCCACCCCCAGCCAGTAAAAAGAGCTGACTGCAGTACATGAGGTACACTGTGTACGAGGAATAGCTGTTGTTATTTTGTTAGTAGAGAACATGCATGTGAGTGTGTAATGTTATTTTACAGAAACATGCTACAATACAAGATTTATGTGTTAAGACATGAAAGTAACAAAGTACATTTACTCCGGTACTGTAAATATGTTCGGGATGTTGCCACTGTACATTTACACTTTACTACTTATTTTCTTCTACAGCACATTCATGTGAGGACTGTAGCTACATGTTACTTTAGAAAAAACACTTGTGAAACGCTGCTAATATCCATTTGTTTCCTTTTTCCCATGCTTATCTTTTCTTTCTTTCCTTCCATTTTTCCTTTATTCTTTCTTTTCTTCAAGTTGTCTTTTCTTTCATTCTTACATCCATCTTTCCTTCTCTTCTATACTTCTTTCCCTCCTTCCTTCTCTTTCCTTCTTAGCTTCTTTCCACCTCCCTTTATTTTTTCTACCTTTCCTTTCTTCTGACCTTTTTTCTTTCCTTTCTTGTCTACTTCTTTATTTCTTTTGTTCCCTCATTATATCCTGGATTCTGTTCTTGCTTTTGTAATTTTCTTCATCCTTTCTTTTGTCCCTTCCTTCTGCCCTTCTTTTTATCTTACTTTCCTTCTCTTATTTCTTTCTCTCCCTAAGCTGCCTTTCTTCCTTTCACTCTCTTTCTCTCGCTCAGTTCTTTTGGCCGTCTCGATATTGCACATACCAGTCACACACAATGAACATGCCGTTTCTGTAGAATAACATCAACCATCTTATACTTGTTGAGAGTAAATGCACAAAGAATCAGCCCCTGGTGCAGGAGGCAGCTTCTTTGCAGGAACCACTGCTGTCAGTCATTGCTGATGCTGCACGTTGTGTTAACTGCTCACAGAGTGGGAGGTGGGAGTGGGGGTTTAAAAAGTAGAAGCTATGCTAATAACATACAGCTGAGCCATCATTCACTCAGAGACTGACATTGGCCAAGGACAGTGGGAGAGGAATTTTTAATTAATCAGTCACACGAACAGACAAAGTGACTGCCGCTCTCGATAAAAAGGATTTCTCATTTGTTTCCTCTTCACTTTAAAGAAGTGTGTAAATATCTGTGGATGTGCAACAGCAACAGTTTCATGTGTGAAGGATGTGTGGAAGGACACTAGGATACCAGGAAGACGTCAAGTCTAAAAGCCCTGTTAGTGGCCCCTCGAGGCCCCACCGCTCCTTACACCAGCGTGTGTAGAAATACTGACCAACCAATGTTTTCATCCACAAGGGACACTTCTACTCCAACTGTAAAAAGGTGCTGTTTAATAATGTATTAGACGGACACATGCAGCCTTTACTCAGAGTGTTTTGAGTGTACTCATCCTTCCACTAAATATGTATGTCCTACATCTGCTCACAATCACTCAGATGGGAGTTGGAAGGGGGGGATGTTTCCACAGTACTTTAAGGAACACTTTGTTTTACAGGACCCTTTACTAGAAAGTAACTGATATGAAATGCAGGCACTTTTGTTTATTTTTTTGTACTGAAACTGTACTTTCTTTTTTTCTTTCTTTCTTTATTCTAATTGTCTGTCTTTGGAAGGTGCAAGGGATCTGTAAAATAAAGCATTATCATACTAAGAACATTTACATTTGACACAGTCTTCCACCCTGTAAAGCCAGTTGTGTTAAATTTCCCCAACTCACTGACACACACACACACACACACACACACACACACACACACACACACACACACACTCACACTCACACAGGTTTGATCAGTAAGTCAGTGCTGCAGAAATTTCTCATTTAAAAGACACCTGGTTGGCTGGCGGAGAATATTTAGGGACTGAGGGATTCATGAAAACAAAGCTTCACTGTTATTGGTTGAGAAACAGTTAGAGTAATGAATTCTATCAACACTTCATGTGTGTAAAAGTCTATTAAGTGGTGAGGTAAGATGGAGCTCAAACAGGAGAGAAGCATGGTTCCATACATTTTAGCTCCTGGGGGCCTTTTCCTTTCTCAGTGGAAATCTCTAAGTCTAACAAAATGGCATGCAGCTCTCATGCTCAGATGACTCGGTTTCCCTGGCATGCAATCTGCAAAGTCAATGCCAGTCCTCACTATTCAAGGACCTTAACACATTGAAACGGCAAGAACAGTCTCCCAATAGCTTTCAGAAGCGCTGTGGGCAAGGAGGATGTAATGTGTGTGTGTGTGTGAGTGAGTGTATGTGTGTGTTTGTGGGTGCAAGGTCGTGTGTTCACATCAGTTGGGTGTAGATCAGCACTGATTGCCCCTCCTGAGAGCAAGGAGCATTTCCTGTTTAGGGACGCAAGGGCTGATGTCCAATCAGAGGCACTTTACCGCCTCAGCAAAACAGGATGCACGAGGATCCTTTTATCCAGCAGTTCCACGTTTTTCCAGAGGATTAAATTACATGGTGGATTCTGAATAATGTATGTGCAAATAGTTAGGTCTCATTATCTTCATTTCTTTTTTTTATATTACTTTGTCAGAGTTTATTATGATTATTAAAACAATATGAAAATCCAGGCTGAAATCTGATTTCAAAAATATTATTTCTAGCACTAACAGTGTAGTTCAACTGTTCTTGTGCATAATCAGCAGCTCATTTGCATTTTTTCTCTATTTTGCTCTTTACTTTCAATTACTGGCAGCAGAAAATCAGGGTGAAAGGTGGTTTATATTTTCATCCCCCTCTAATAATGATGAGGCTTCCATACAGTATTATATTTATGAAAAAACAAACAGCTATCTATAACTAATTTCTTTACATACACACAGACTAGACAGTCAAGGTGAATCCAGGTAAGAAGCTATAATCCTTTGTCGATTTCCCCCTGTATAAAGAAGGAGAGGATGTAGGTGAAGGGCAGGGAGGCGGATGGAGCTGCAGGCTATAATCTCTTGGCAATTTGACCAATTAAGCCCACTTTAGTCGTGATTAAAGGAGATTCACATGAAGATGAAACGATAGATAAAGACGACTTAGCTCTGACACAAACAGATACCAGAGGTTGCAGGTGGAAAGATATTCAGTGCAGATTCATACTGGTGCATGTCTGTAGCTATATGTTGGTCTTCTGAAAGCTATGAGGTGGAGCTCCCAATATTGTCTTTTTGTTTTGATGTCCTAATATTGGGGCAGGAGGTTAGTTTTCTAAAAGGGGAAGAGAGGGAGGAGGGAGGGAGGGAAGTCATGGTCATATCCCAAGCGCCTTGGGATGAAGTTCATTTGGGAAGGTTGATAAGAGGAGTGTTCTCTGTTTCACATATGGGGGGGAGAGGGGGGGGGGCAAGTGGGTCAATAAGCAAAAGTTAGATTAGATAGGGACAGTTCCCACCTGGCCACGCTTTGTTGCGATCTGATGAGAAAAAGCAATGATGAGCACACACACAGAGAGACACACAGACACACACATTACACCACCCACACAAACAGGGCAAACCAGCATGTAAAGAAAGGCGGAGCAAAGTAAACATATTAAGCAGTTATCACGCAGACATGAAGGTAGAGTGACATTATTCGGCCTTTAAATTGACAACATCAAAGCACAATGAAAAGCACTTAAACTTATCACCCTGTGAAAGAACGACGCACTGGACAAGTCGGATAAAATATTCAAATGAAATAGGGATTATGCGTCTGAACATGTGGATAAATCAAATCTACAGCAAGAGGATGATCATGATGCGATGGACACTTTTTCACTGTGAGGGAAGCAAAGACGAGAGGACACTGTTCATGAGAACAATACACTGTATGACTACGTTCACACTGCAGGTCAGAAAATAAAGTCACGTTTTGTCCCTCGTATGTGGCTCACATCTGTTTCAGTGACAAAGGAAAATCCCACTGAATCTGACTTTTCCAGTTGGCTTTTACATTTACCGCATTTGAAGAACTATGAATCACACTCATTTCCACATTTCTGATATCTTCAGCGATACTATACTCAGTGAAGGTGGCTGTTTTCTTGGTAGGAAAAAAGGCCAGAAATATAGTGACAAGAAAATTGTTACAAAAATGGCGACACGTGTGAATGACACTGGCGCTGGTACCAAGATTTACTGACAACTCCTCCAAATTAAATAACATAATGTCCATGCCTTCTGGAATTACACCTGGAAGTGATTTTTGACAAATGTTTTGTTGACACATCCATCCATCCTGACCTCCTCCATACACGGACTTTGTCGCTCTATGGCTTCACGCGACTCTCTCCTTTTCTCCCGTCATAATTACTATGGCCACTAGAGAGCTCTGTCACTTCCATGTAAACATAGTATGTTGTTTTGGGACACTTGCTGAAACGACAGATGTTTTGAAGTCGGTTTCTTAGCTGCATACGGCGGTTTGGTAAATAACTTTACTGTTCATTCATTGTTTTTTTCTTCATCAGACCTGAGGGTTAAAATCTGATCAGTCTGATTGCTCATATTTGTTATTGCATCCAATGCAAGTCCCCGTCTTCCTAGACCACAGCAACTAACTTATTGAGTGTGTTATCAAAACTGAAAATCAGATCTACATCCAAATAAGATGCACGCTGCAAGAAACCAGAATCATCATCTAAGCCTTTCAATGTGAACGTAGCCTGATACACGCTGATGTGCCGTGAAAGTGAGCCGATGAGGGAGACGATAGGAGGGACAAAAGGCTGGACAGGAAGTGAACTTGGGAGGGAGGGAGGGAGGGATGAAGAGGAAATGGTTCAGTCTGATCTGATGTGAGTGAATCTCACTCCTCTACATCTATCAAAGCAGGACCACAACATAATGGACCAAGCCTGTTAAACAGGATGATGTTATTATACTTTGAGGAACTTTAAAGTATTATTTATGTTTATAAATGAACAGTGAGAAAGATACTGACAGAATGATGAAAGTTACATTATCCTGCATATGTATTATACCTAGCTTCTAAAAATGAATAAGAAATGGTTTATAGCTACCATTCACTCTGTTTAATAGCTTTCAATTAGCATCGGTTTATTTGCTGCAGACAGCAGCACTCAGATCCTTTGTACTCATGAATATCCTGGAACACCTTCCGCTCTTACGAAAGCTTCAACCTTGGTTGTTTCTGACAGTTCAGGATTTTCCCTTATTCACTGTGCTGCCTCACTGTGCATTATGTATATTGCTCCTACTAACACATATAGAACATATCTGATAAATGGAAAACAGGTAATTGCACTTATGCAACCTGAACACAGATGTAACACAAACACAGTTATGTAACACAAACAGAGTAAATGCCAGTATCTTTGATCGTGACTGTGGCGGTGATGATAAGAATAGCAAATAACTAAATATGACATTTGTTCAAAGACTGCTGCAGACACTTGTATAAAATCTGCAATTTACAACGGCTAAGAAGGACAGGAAGGAGAGCAGGAGACGCAAACAGGAAGACAAACACATGGACAGAGCGATACACAGGCAGAGAGAGCAGGCATTACCCCATAAGGCTCCTGAAAGCAATCCAAGCCAGAAAACAAAGAAAGAAGGAAAAAAGTGGAAGACAGAGACAGAGTCAGCAACAGATAAAAGACAGAGAGAAGCATCAGTCAACAGCTGGCCAAAGAGAAGAAATCAGAACAGCACAACGTTTTACAAAGAAAGATATACAGGTGAAGAACTGGAGAGTTTCAGGACATGATATGTGAAATAGTGGCAGATGCCAAATCACTGACGGCGCTGGTTGAAATAAAATATGTGATCACTAGAGACTGAGCATGCATCAAGGGACACATCACCTCCCTTTATACTCTCCAGCTACAGATAACATTTATTTCCAATTGGCTGGAAGGTAGAAGTTGAAATCATATACATCTCTTCTCTAATAATCTCATAATAATTTCTAAATCTGTGTGTGAGGTATACTGAGCTGCAGGTAATGGTATCAACACTACTATATGTTTGGCTGCTAGTTAACTAATGGACCTAAGCAGTGCTTGATTTGGGCCAGTACTCACTCATAAGCAGTACCAGCATTTTAGAGTTCTGTAAACTGAGTGCTTATTACTTGCTTGCCACTTACATTACATTATTGCCACTTTATGATAAATACAGGTACTCAAGATGTAGTTAATGTGACAGGAAAAACAGACCAGTTCATTTCCTGTTCAAAATAGTCATGAGAGAAGGCAAAACATGTGCAGCTGTGTGAGGAACAACATGTGCATAACTGCTGCAGCTTTTCTTTCTGAATGTGGTGAGTAGGTGTAGTATATGCATCATTAAACCACCTAATGTTTAACCCAAATATACAAAATAATGACCCTGACAGCTGTTTTTAAAGATCAACACATATGAGACAAAACACATTCAGGAGATTTAGCACAAACTGTTGCTGTTTAACAAAACTTGGAAATATCATGTGATAGTAGTTGTGATTTAAAATAACAAAGACCTTCACAGGAAAAATGTCATTTGTTACAACTACAGTTAAATTACAGTAACACAAGAGTGAGATGCTGGAGTTACAATCAGCTTACAGACTTCCAATTAAAATGAAGAATATCACCTCCTCTGTTCCTTCTGTCCCCTCCTGAACCTTAAACCTGTCAGCCAAACGGTGCATGGCCCATTAGCCGACTAGCAGGGAGGGGGGCTGTGGGGACCTTATGTAACAATGAAAGATGAGTTTGACATAGTCATGTCGGCAAAATAACCCCAGGCAGCACAAAAGCCTGAGAGTTCATGGGGAGTAATTGGATGATCACAATGGATTTGTTTGTCTGAGCAAAACACTGGAGCAGGGGTACCTCGCCCCAGTGTGTTAGCCTGCTAGCCTGATCAAGGGACAGACACCAGAGAGAAGGTAACCGTGGCTTAAAATACCGCAAGGCAGCACAACCGGTGATTTGCTCTTTGCCTTGTCCTTGAAAATATATATACTTAGAGCCCTGCTGTGATTAGAAAAGAAACGCGGGAATAACAGAAACGTTGACTTACGAGCAGGCAAAGGCCACCAGAGCTCCACTGACCACGATGAAGTCCAGAATGTTCCACAGGTCGCGGAAGTAAGAGCCAGGGTGCAGGAGCAGTCCCAAGTCAATCATCTAGAGTCACAGAATGAAGAGTTATACAAACATGTAGAAAATCATACAAGATGTCGCTGAGATTTTCTTTGTTTCTCTAAAGGTAACTCTGATCTCTCCCTTCTTCTTACTTTGTGCAAATCTTTAATAGAACTCTGGATTTCATATTCAGCACCTTTTTTTTTTTTTGCAGTGACTCAAAGTACTGATTATCTAAAGCATCTGACATTAGAGCGGGTTGTTAGGTTATCACAACTGACAAGAAAAAAACCCCCAAAAAACCTATCAGCAACGCCAGTGCTGCTGTCCACTGTGTGCCAGTCTTCTCAATAAGCACCGAGTTGATGATTAGTAAGTCAAAAGACGGTGAGATGTCTAAGCTAAGCTAAAACCAAACTAAAATTTTGTTGAAAATGATACATCTCAACATGAAGCAAGTCACAACTGCAGGAAGAAAGCGTTTGATTGACCTAAATGTCTGAAAAAAACTTTCAATTTTCAAACCCCTTTTATCCCAACCTGGATTTTTCTTTGACCTGCAAATTACCAAAACTTTACTTTGCGGGGTTTTTTTTTTTTTCAGCACACGAATCAAAGTGTACCTCCAGTCTTCTCACCTTAATCACCATCTCAAAAGTAAAGACTCCAGTAAAGACGTAATCCAGATACTTCAGAACCTGCAAAAACAGAGCGCAACGAAATATGCTGTGAGATGACTCATGTACAGATCCAGTGACAGATCCTTTCAGTTTAAGACACTTTGGTGCGTGCGTGTGTGTTTGTCTGTGTGTGTGTGTGTATGTGTGTGTGTGTGTGTGCGGACCAGATATGCACAACATGTTCCTCTGCCCTGTCAGAGGTCTCAGACTCTGTCAGCTTTGTACTCCCCTGCACGAGCACACATCGCCTGAGCGCCCACGCGAGCAAACACACACGGATAAACAACGCACAAACACACACGCGCAACATCACCTCAGATTCCCTCCGCACATCTGACTTGAATGTTAATTACTTGTGCTTGTCTGTCAAAATGCAAAAAGTCAAGTCTCGTGTCTGTGTGCATATATTACTTCCTCATTCCCAACATGAGCTAACATGTCATGCAGGGATATGAAGAGTACGGAAACATTTTGCTAAACTGGATATGCACCAGTTTGGGCGTTTTGTTAGAAAATTTTCCGTGTCAGACTGTCTGCATTTTACCAAAAAACGATTCAAAAAAAGCTTCTTGTGCTTCCTACTGCTTGTTTCTTAATATGGGCGAACTGTCAAACCCTGTTAGCGAGGACTTCTCAATCAGTCCGAATGAATCATCCAGACTGACAAAATGGGACGTGTCTGTGTGCGAATCTTCATGCGCTTATGTGAACATGCACATTTTCATGCAAACGCTGGTCTGCGCGTCCATGTGCCTGCCTGGCAACCAGTGTGTTCGTTGTATACTTCCAGATGTTTATTTATGAAGTCTGGATGCTGGTCTGACTCACGTTGTTGCGCGGTGCGTTGGCTTGCACGGGGTCCTCGGCTGCCAGGGCGATGCTGCTCATGGTAATGACCATCAGGATGCACATTTCAAAGTAGCGTAGGTTGACCACGTAGTGACACAGCCGCCGCACCCTGCAAGATCACACACAACACACACACACACACACACACACACACACACACACACACACACACACACACACACACACACACACACATATGTAAACACACACATACACAACAGTACAAAGTGCACACCGAGTAGTGACAGCTCATTAGATATATTCAGGTGAAGTCGTCCAGTAACAGGCCACAGACAACATGCATATCCCTCCATGTCCAAACAAAGGTACAGTCATAAAAGGCAAAGGATGAATGCATCAGCCTCAGTGATACGTGACTCAGGGTTATCTGGGTTCATTATGTGTTTTAACTGAATCTATCAACCTGTAACTTCCTCGAAATAAATACTTCTCTATGAAGAACATGTTACTTACACTGTATGTTTCTATAAATACAGCACTAAGGTGAACAGAGTCTGCACTTTCTGGGATGAATAATTTGACTCATGAAGAAGATCTTGAGATCATCAAAAGGAGCGCTTTTTCCAGAAGAGCATCACGGCCTAGGATTTGAAGGACTGACAAACTTTACACTCTGCTGCAAGCCAGCCCAGTGCAACGTCAGGTTTACTGAAGCCAGCAGGACTGCATCACGGCGGACACTCCAGTTACACAAGAGTAGGATGACGGTTTCCTCCGTGATGGAGGATTTGAACATGGCCCACGTGGACTGAATGTCCCCAAAGCATCTCAGGAATCCATGATCTATCAGCGTATCAGATGTCTATAATACTCTGAGACAAGCTTTTACATTTCTGGGAAAGTTATTATAGTAGCAAATATTTTATCTCTGGTCACAATAATAACAATGTAAGTAAAACAGCAAAACAGTGTTGACGCGACAAAGAAATCTACCAGGGTTGATATCTGATTGGCCCCCAGCAGCGAATTGCAGGATAACGCCTCGTTGTGGTCCGGTTCAACGTTTTGCCGGACCACCCTGTGAGTTTTTGGCAACACCCTCTGTGTTGGCGCCACTGCTGCCTCGACAGAGTGTCCTCATGCAAATGAATGAATGGTCTGGGTTTTTCCGCAGATGGTGGAGTGAATGCAGCCTTCCTCTCTGTGACATGCAGTCATTAGAGAAGAGCATCTTGCTCTCCAGGAAAAATTTCAACACATCCTTGATGGGCCAAAGTCTCCTGACTATCCAAACACCAGTCTGGTGCCTTTCACCCAGCTCTGGGATACAGACGACTCCTGCCTGCACCAACTCTGGCTCTTTCCCTACTAGAGTCCAGACGCACCTAAACATGTGGCATTTTAAGATTACATACATGTTCCTTTTCAAAAGAAATGGATAAATATTTGTCACCTTCTCTTCTCAACATTAAATACAAATCAGGAGTTTGATTTTTTGTGCAATCATTTTTGTATCTAACTGAAAATAAACAGGCTCAGTCGGCTACTCAACACAAGTATGATCGATACGTTTCTTGTGGAAATAATGATGAATAGCTGGAGGTAGCAGAAATAAGCAAAACATTTATTGTATAATATATGGCCCTTTGTTTCAAGAATTGCACTGGCAAGGTAGGTGAATTAAATAATTTGGGGGCTGATACATCTATAGATTTCAACTCACTATGTGCCTTTTGTTAGTTTTTCCCACTGTAAATGTTAAAATGCTAATAAAGTATGGGATTTATGAGCTTTCTGTTGTTGTTAATTCAACCCAAACTATTAATTTAATTTCACGTCACTCCTCAGCCACCTCCCTGTCATGACTCACGGATTTGTTTGCCCGAAGATGAACATGGAGCTGTAGGGGAGGATCTGCCGAGGCCCATTAGCTGCCTCCTCTTCCTCCAGATCTTTCTTCTCCTCACTGAGTCGGAAAGTGTCACAGTCGATGTTGTTCACTGGTGTGGAAAAATAAATATATTCATTTAGCTCAAAGAGGAACAAACATTAGTAACAGGAGGCAGGCTTTTTGGAGTTATTTGTATTTACATTTCTCATAAGATGATGGTTGCAGGGTCAAGACTAAGCATGAGGTGTGATATGATGATAACTTTGTACAAAAACAAACACATAGCTTAAATATAAATAATGAGTAAATAAAATAAATATAAAAAGAATTAAGCTGCTGTTATACAGACAGCATGAACAGTATTTCAGGAAGCGTTGGGAAACATCAAGACTTTTCCTGTGTGTTTAATTTTTATTCTTTTTGTTCATCAAATTATAAAAATAGGACCTGGAGTTACTGCAGAAACGTGACCAAATAATCCAAGTGTAACTAGACTTATAATAGAATAAACTGCTTGTGGCTTTATCAATTGGTAGATTTTTAATGGGCAATTCAGATATTGGCAACATGGTCCTTATTTTGGTACATTTGGACATCATCGATAGTGTTTACAATAATATTTTATTCATCAGTTTCTTTGGGATGATGAGTCATTCTTCATTAGTCTCAATAATCCTTAATAACTCTCGTAAAGTGATGACTAGTGGAAATATTGTAATATATAACATCATTTAACCAATATGAACAATGACCAAAACTTCAAAATAAAACTCTTCCGTCAACCTTCCCTATCCTTCCCTCTTTGATATGACCGTGACATGAAGCACTCACTGGGTATGATGGTGGTCTCTCCTGGAGGGGCAGTGATGGTGACGGGGATGTGGATGGCGTTGCTGTTGAGGCCAGCCTGGCTGGCCCTGGTGGAGTTCTTCTGGTTGTCAGCATCCTCTTGCTTTTCTCCAAGACTCAGGCTACTGCGCATTGGCTGCAGAGGAGTGGAGGCGAGGCCGTTGTCCTCAGCATCTGGCTGCCTCTCCCTGGGGAGAGAGATGCGGGTCTTATCACGGGCATCGTTACACTCTGCTCTCAGGATGCTTCAAGCTTTTTCTGCCAAATGAGATCCTTGTGAGAAAAGTTTGTCCGCCCTCCTGGGACACGGGCCGCAACTTATGTGCCGACAAAAGCAGAAGTAGACTTTTACTGCCATGCTATCCAAACACACAGTGAAAACTTGCTTAGACTTGCACAATGTCTTAGAATACAAAATCAAAGTCTAGAAAATCCACCGGCCAAGTCAGGTGCACTCCAGGCCAGTCCACAAGCTGTAGGGAGCGTTTACATGATATTATGACAAGCTGTTACACCACCACTTCATGAACAAATATTTAAAACAGGCAGTGAAGATATAAAACTAAGCAAGCATCTGTAGGGCTGTTTTCTCACCTCAGATTCATTCAGAAACAGTTATATGAGAAATGTGATGATTCCAGCTCAGCCAGCACATGTAGCTCACAAGTAAAGGCCATCAACAGCCCACATGGTTGTTTGTCCGATCAGTGCAGTCATATTAGCCTTCTGTTCAATGAAACCACTCACATTCACCCCTGAAAAAGGCTGTGAGGTTACAGCTCCAGTATGGGGAATAAATAAATATTGAGCAGAGCGATCACAGCTGTGAGAGCCAGGCTGCTGTTTGTTGTCTGGTAATGTAATGCTGCACTTTACATGGTAATGAAAAACTAATAAGTTCGCCCATTTTCAAACACAGTGCATCAGTGGCCTGACCTGACTTCTAAGTGCACCGCAGTTGGCTGGAGATTGCACCAAAATGCATGCTTGAATTTTACCATTTTGGGAACTTCAGTAGAAGTGAATTGGAGACGGAGTGAACACTGACTGTGTAATGTGTAATGTGATTGTACCTTAAGCCAGTAATAATTGATTTTTTTTTCCCCGCATGGAGCAGCTGAAACAAGCTGAAATCACAACACTGACATCGCCTTTTAGCTGAGAGGGCGAACTGGTTAGCAAACAGCTTGTTATTTACTCATCCAGCAGATATGAAGCAACATCAGCATTCATTTGGAGTCGCGTTTCTGCGCATCTGATGGCTGTAAGTCCAATATTCACTCTCCTTTTATTCACTCTCTGCTTTTGGGCTTCAACTCCTGAGGGAAATGTCTGACACTTTAGCTGCTAAATGCTTTACTATCAGCTACTCTCTTACTGTGTTTGTCTGCCGTTTGGTGCTGAGCAGATAGTGTACAGTGGGTTTATCTGTGTTGTTTTTTTTTGGTTTTTTTTGTTTGCAGCAAACAGCTGCTGTTGTGTCTGGAAACGCTGCTGATAAGAGCTCTGAGAGTGAACCAAAACAATGAGCTGAAAGACGCTATAAATCTCCATAGAGCTGAGGGCAGCTGCCAAGTATGAGTAACCCCTGACACATACAAGTGGTCATGTGACCTAATGTTCATAACACTATTGATTATAGCTGTTTCGAGGAGAGATCTGACGCCTATTGTACAGAAAGCTTGAAACGATGTGCGTCTCAAACTAACTGATCCACGGCTGTGTCACACCACAATGAGCGAGGTGAAACTATGAGCTAGAGCATTAAGAGGCATCACTAATTACATCGTCCTGTGTGATTTAGACACAGTACATATTGTGATACTGCAGACTTTGGTTGCCAAAGGTATAAACCCCACATAACATTTGCCTCAAGTTAAATCCATCTTCATATTTGTATATGAGCGGAAAGGTGTTCCTCCTAACCATCCACATTTCTCAAACATTCCTCAGACTTTCATCACTGAAACTAGGGCAAGTTGTTTCTTGTTTGATCACCGAGATGATAGCTAACAAGTGCTCCTCTATTTTCTTATTCTAACCTGTCACTTATTATTCAGAGGCGAGGCCGAGAGCTGAGAACTTTTGAAAGTACATCATTTATATCATTATTACTTGTTGTTCACTGACCCAGATTGCTGTTTTTTTTAATCAGCTGCATCTTGTTTTCATAAATTGGGACATTATTGTTTACCGTTTATCATAACACTAAACTCTCACTAAACACTAAAAATTCATTGCAACGGCACAAAAAACAAAAACAAGTCCCAGGCGGTAAATATAAAGTCTTTCCCTTAGAAAAAAAAAAGGCACCGTTGTTTATTTAAAATGAGTGTGAATCGTTTAATATGCAAGTCTAATGTAAGGCTACTAGGAAGTCATTATTATTAAATATGAAAAAACATCTTATATCATCAACAATATCAGGAACATATTAAAAACAACTTGAATAAAGAGCATATAGCATGTGCAGCCTTACCTATGACCTCTGCTTCCATTCTTGCTCCTCTTATAGTCGTCTCCGTCCAGAGTCGACTGAGCTCTGACCATGCGAGAGCAGCGTGCCTTCCTCTCTCCATTACTATCCCCTCCTCCCCCCCTCCCCTTGCACTCTCCCTGTGCACCGTTCGCTATCATCCCGTTTCCCTCTTTTGGTGGACGATGGGAGTGGTGATGGCGGTGTCCCCTCTCTTCTCCTAACCCTAATCCTTGCGTGTCAGTGGTCTCCTCTTCAGGCGAGCCAGCCTGGTGGTGGTGCCTGTGACCCTGCCCTCCGTCGCGGCTTTGGCTCCTCTCCCCCCTCCTCTCTTTCGTCTGGGCACCGTCGGTGTTGTGATCTCTGCTCCTGCTGTGATGGATGTGGTGCCTTCCACCTCTGCCGTCGCCTCCGTCTCTGCTCTCCCCGTTTCTGTCGCGGTGGCGGTGATGCTTCCTGGAGTGCGTGTGGAGGTTGTCTCCGACCCCATCCTGTCGGGGATCCCCTGCCTCCTCCCGTCCTCCTTCAGGAGGCCTGCTGGGTTTGTCGCCGTTCCTGGCCTCCACCACGAGCGGCCGGTCCAGGTGAGTCTTCATGTCGGGATGCAGGTGGAGAGCGGAGGACACGCGGAGGCGCTCCTCTGGGTCGAGCTCGTTGAACAGGGCCTCGCTGCTCGCCCTCATGTTGTGTCTCCTCAGCTGGTTGGTCCTTTGCTCCCACACTGACATGGCCTTTGCTGAGCGCTGCTGCTCCTTACTGCACACAGGATCAAACCCACAGGAAAAGATCAAGAACAATGACATAGAAACATTTTTGTTTACCTCGACTTCATGAGTGCTTTTCTCATATGGGTTTTAGGTGAACATCACTATCCACAGTATCCATCCATAGCCACACAATCATCTACTCATCAGGCCCTTAATAAAGTAAAGTAACTGAGAAAGAACCAGACATGAGGTAGTCTATGGATGCTTCAACAAATGTTCCCCATGGTAAAGTTTTCACTTACCATGCTTGAGTGTTGTATGGAGACAGTAGTTCAAATCCTCAGTAACAAAAACATGATTGTTTTTACTTTCCGAAGACATAAGATTATGATTATGGGATAAACCTGGGATACACTTTTCACCAGTGGTGATCAGAATGAAGAACGTATCAGGGTTTGCCTTGGTGGGGTAATTTTTTATTAGCATGATTTTAGCCGATTTAACCTGCATTAGCTCCAAAGTGTGTAAATATGTGTAGTAACGTGATGAAGTTTATCTTCTCCTGAAGGACTTGCAGCTGCTTTGTTTGGGTGGGAAAAAAAGACGTAGGACAACTAATCTTGGCAGTGTTGTCATGTATTCCTTTTGAAGAACTGACACAAAGCAGCTTTTCACAGACTAAAACAGATCCATACAACAGCTGAAATGACACACTGATATTAATAAGGTTTCTAAATATCAAGCTGTAGGGATACAGTGCATTAAATATCCCATGACTCCATTGAGGAAGTAGGTGAGAGGAGGATGTTAGCTAAGCTGACATCCATCATGAACAACAACTCTCACCGCCTGCATGACACTGTAGGGTCTCTGAGTAGCTTCTTCAGCAGCAGACCTTTACATCCTCGCTGTAAGAAGGAGAGGTTCCGCAACTCCTGCTCTTCCTGACCATGTGCAAACTGGCACTTTTTCATGTACATATCGTGTGTATTGTGTATATAGTATTTATTGGTGTATATTGGGTGTATATTGGTGTATATTTGGTGTATTTTTTATGTATATTTCCATAGATGTTTATTCCATAGATGTTTATTTTCTGCTGTGGTGAGTGAATTTCCCAGTTGTGGGATTAATAAAAAAGTTAAACTAATCTTACTCTAAAAATGACGTCATTAAAATAAAAGGAACTAATTGATGTTGTTTAAGACACTATTAATGACTGAAAGTCTCTTGAACTTCAAGTCACACTCCACAGGCCTCTGCTGTCCTATAGTTCCCTACTGATCAGACTCACAATCAGGTTTGTTGCCAAGTAGGTTTTCACATATGAGGAATTCGCTTTGGTGTTTTGGTGCATAACAATAAACATTAATTGATTAACTGATTAAATTGAACCGAATAAAAAAAAAAAAAATCTATAAAAACTGGTGGAGCAAGTTGAATTAAACATTAAAAGAAATCAGAAATGAGACTTAATCTGTCCACAATCTTCCATGACCACTTACCTACAGTGCTTAATTGATATTGATATCGATTGATATGGTGCCAGCCAATCACAGTGCCCATCAAAATGTCAATAATGAGGAACAATGTGTCAGAAGAAAACCAAAATCTGCCGACAGAGTCTGAAAAACAAGGATGTACTGGCACAAATTACAGCTACTGTATGTTTGTGTTTTCTGCAGAAGAATCAGCTCATGTGATGATCTTCCAAGTTTCTCTCAAGTTTATTTGCAGACAGTAGGCCGGCATATCTGCTGATGTGTCAGCACAGCATAAAGATACTACTACTGTATGACTGCACAGTACCTGTTTTACTTAAAGTTAATAAAAACAGGTAAAAAGAGTAAAGGATGAATTGTGTCCATATCCCCAAATAAAACTACTAACGAGTTAAATCCACTGTGCGTAAGAGGCCGTGTTATGGGCCAATGGAAAGCACAGTAGTGCAGAGACAAAGTTGTCTTTATTTACTCCTATTCACTATGTGTCTTTATCAGGCAAAGTTAGAAGTGCCTAACGTTTACCTTCTCTATATTTTGTGAATATCATGTTTTGTCATGTGCAGCTCTGATCTAATGGGACATGCAATTAAAGTGAAACAGAAATAATCTGTTTGATCCAGGTCATGTGTGAATGGTGCAGGCAGGATCAACATGCTATGGGTGATTGCCATTCCTGTATTTAGTATGGTCTTTTTGAACATGGGACTTTCTACAAGAGTCCAAAACACAATCAAAGAAATCCTTTGATGTGTTCATTTTTCCATCTGACATGTGTGAAGGCATTGCATACTGCTTCTGCACAGTATGATTTATTTACATGGGGCTTTATGGGTAAGTTAAGTTTGTTCCATCTGGTCACCTGTACCTCAAGATTCGTCGGGCGGGGGAGGAGTAGACAGAATAACTCCTAAAAGACAGAGGACACAGACAGACAGAAGACACAAGAGGACACAGGACAGGTGTCCACAGACAAGTGAGCAACAGACGTACAGGTAGTGTTGATACAGAAAGGAAAGTGAGAGATGAAGCGCTGAACGGAGGAATTCCCATTGTGAGATATATTGACACAGCGCATGCACACACTGAAAAACACACAAGAAGGGCAATGTCAAAGAAATGAAAGTTATCTCTAGTAATGAATTTGTGTTATCTCGGTGAGGTGAGATGTTAAATAAGCCTCTCTGGCCATCTGCATTTTAATCGATGGAGACAGCGGATCGCCGGGCAGGAGAGCAAACTCACAGCTGGCCGTTGCCTTTAATTTTGGCCTTGGATCATATCGTCTTTTAAAGTGATGTCCTGGGGCCTACGATAACTAACAGACTGGAAATGCCAAAGTGCCTGTGGTGATAGCAACACTCAGAGAAATTAAACATTTCTACACAAATGAGTCACATCAGAGAGCACAGTGCGAAAGATGAATTACTGCAGGCGCCAACGCTGAAGATCTGCAGCCGTCAACAAAGTACACAATGGTTGGTAAAGGCCAGAGGGAGACATAACTGTGTTTCTGCCTCAGCGATTTACACTCAGAAGTTCACTCACACTGGCCTTATAGCTTTAAGTGTGGTATGTGTTTATGCTATTTATATATAAGTGTGTTTTTCTGTTTTGTTTTTTTCAAAATAATACATTTCATTTTATCAGCAATGAAGACATGACAGACTATAATTTAGTTTTATGGAGTTCCGGAGAGGAGAGAAGGAGAGGAGAGGAGAGGAGAGGAGAGGAGAGGAGAGGAGAGGAGAGGAGAGACAAAAAGGGAAAGGAAGGGAGGGAAAGGTAAAGGAGATGACACAAAGAGTTAGGAGAGGAAACAAGGAAAATAGAGGGAACAGCAGACGATAACCAGAACAGGAGATAAGAACAGGAACAGAAGAGGAGAGGATGGAAGGAGGCAAAGAGAGGGGAGGAGAGGAAACAGTGAAAGGAGAGGAGAGGAGAGGAGAGGAGAGGAGAGGAGAGGAGAGGAGAGGAGGAGAATATTGTAACAGAGAGTGATAACTCACGGTGACTGAATGCTGTTGATGGACGACCTGCGAGAGAGTGCATCTCGATTTTGCTTTACAAAACTGTACATGCAGAACAAAAACAAAAGAAAAAATGAGACACAAATCTGAAGGGGACAGGTGGACTGCCTGTCAGTCTGTGTGTCCACCTGTCCCCTCCTCTTTTACAGTAAAGGACTAATCTGTGCAACTACTTCAATAACACAACGGCAACAGAAGCTGGTACATTTTTATAATAATAAAAAACTGAAACTGAAAAAACATTCAGGAGTTTCATTCCAAAACAATAAAATATAAAGTTGCTATTGAAATGACACTTTAATAGTAATTTTCTTTTTAGTTTTAAATATATTTACATTGTAAAAAAAATCTTTTCTACAATGTCAATTTTTTTTTTTATTCCTCAAAAGTCTGTCGTGATTTTGTAATGAAACCCTGAGTTTCTCTGAGACAGCACACAGAATCCACATAAAACAGTTCATTTAAAATAAAAGCAGTTGCTTATGAGCTCACTCACTAGTTACCACACTGTTCAATGTACAAATTAAAATATTCAGAGAACACTGAAAGTAATGTACAGGTTCACATAATAAAAGTAATGACGGTGAAGAAGGAGAAAGACTGGAACGGTTAGCTAACCAGAGCTGATCGTTTTCTACAGCCTGACCGACCTATTTCTTGGTGAGGAGGACGGCAATTAAGGAGTCAGTGTGAATCGAGGATGAACACTTTGTCAAAAGGATAAAGGGCTGTGTGAAACTGCACATCACACAAAGGCCTGTGCAGAGTTACACAACACGCAATCAGTGAAATCCATCTGATGTGAGCAACACGCACAGACAGTGTGCATTATTGCTTTTGTTCCACATTAACAGAGCAGATGAGTATCAAAGAAAAAGGCTCACTGTAACCTCCAGCGTTACATAATGCAGCTATAAATCACTGGTAAGAATGAAAACACTCCAGTTTTCACAGCAGCTTTCTCTTGACGGACTCATAATTTCAGTGTTCATCAAGGCTCTAAAAATAGGTCGAATTTGGAGGCGCAATTAATTTCCTGGTTGACACAAGACCCCAGACCTGTCAGTCACAGGCTTGTGGTGGAGAGGGGGCGGGTCAAAAGTTTTAGCATGACAGCAGATATCTGCGTTCATGAAGACATCCCTGTCATTATCACATTAGAGAAAATGGGAGCGTCTGACAGAGAAGATTAGGGTTTTCTTGTATCTTGCTCACAAGCTTCTGCTGCTCCTCTCTGTTTTCGATGAATAGCTCTCATCTTCTCAACTTTCAAAATAAGTCCAGGGAATAAAAGATATATATACTGTATATATATGATGGCTTTCTTATTTTGAAACTGTAATGAAGAAGATATATAGATTCAACTTTTTATTAAGTTTATTAATTTGTGTTAAGGTGGTATCCATACTAGTTCTGGATTAAAGGTGAGTTTTCTTTACAGTAATATTTACATTCAGTTTTACTCTCCAAAACACTGTGTGTATTCTCATGGCCTGTCAATGCTGCATTTACTTCCTCATAAAACATTGGCAAAGCCAATTCTTTAAATGTCAGATACTGCTTTGTTTACATCCATGCTGGCCCGCTCGCAAAAACATTTCTCCATAGTGCTACTAGTCTACTATTGGTCAAAAACTCCAAACGGTACCTTAAATATTACATATAATTCATCTATTCATATATATATTGGACTAGAGGTGGCTTAGTAGACCTTGTTCAGAGTATTTGCTGTATTCTCCCCTCATTATCTACAAGGTTTACGCTTATAAAATAATTAAAAGACACTTGAAATGAGCTGAGAGCTGTTTTGTTGTAGTAATGACATTGGACACATTTCAATGACTTGCTTGTTCAGACCTGGAACAATCATCTGAAAATGAAACGCTGTTTTTTGCAGCATGTAACGAAGCTCAGGATGTTCAATGAAGCCATGAAATATCATATTGTTGTCTGGTTCCACATGAACTTTCAAACCCCCATTGAATCCTGCAACATTATCTCAACATTTTGCCACTAAAAAGGGCAAAGCATGTACTAAGACTGGCGCCAAGAATGAAATACAAACAGCTGGCAGGAACTAGCATGTATTGTCGATTGAAGCTTCCTTAATTGCCTCTCCTTGTGAAGAAGGGAAACGTGGGGTGTTATAAACAAGGCAGCGCCGCAGGAGCACTCTCACAGTGGATGAGGAGAAGTCCAGAACGTACACAGATCAAACACAGTAGACATAGACATTAGAGACTGAGAGGGAAGAACATACAGAGGGACGTCACACTGACATTTATCTCCGGTGCGCGACTGAACAGAGCTGCTGCCAGAGGGAGGAGATTCTCGGAAACTTACGCAGCGATCGAGATGTTGGCTGCCGACATCGGGCTGACTTCCTTCACCTCCAAAGCCTTCTGCAGTGCGAGCTTCTTATTGGCTGCCTCCTCCTGCTCCTCCTCATCCTTTGGCCAGAGACAACCAAGACAAATAAATACATTCATATTATAACATGTGCACATGCTGAGCTGGGCTGGGCAGGCACTGGTTTGACATGTTTTACTGGGAAGTAGAAAAAAATACAACAACATTTATATTTTTATGTGTTATTAATGTCTTCAAGTGCAACATCTGGATTGGTTGTCCAGGCCCACCTTAGTCAGCTCCTGTGCGTTGGCGAGATTATCGACAGCAATGGCCAAGAAGACATTCAGGAGGGTGTCTGAATAACAGCAGGACTCAGGAGAAAATACACATGGGCAGTACATGACCTGTGATGAAACACCACACTAGGAGCAAGGTCTACTGATGATTCGGTCACTCCGTCAGCCTGTCTGTCAGAGTCAGGACAATATCTTAGTCTTGACAACGGCCTCCACTCAGCTGTTAAGATATGTGATTCATTTACAGTCCCAGATGGCATTGGAGTTATCTTCTCAAGCGCCCAAAAAGATTAGCAAAATATTTTTTCCACGCCTTTAAGAGAATCATAAGTCAACAGAACGTGTAGTTGGTGAATTGATGGAAGAAAAGATAAATTCTTGGAACATTATTGCTGCTGAACACATTTATGCTCACCAGAGAATGAACCTTTTTAATTTTGTATTCTAAATAAACGTCCTATTAATGCGACCCTGTGGCCAAAATGTCTACCTTGCACAAAAGACACTGCACCCCATGATGTAAAGGGGAAGACTGCCATGAGCACATTCATGCTCCCAGGAAGAAAACCTGTTTTGATTTTAATGACTTTATGATCTTTCCCCTCAAAGCTCCCTCAAGAAAACATTTTTATCTCCGCAAATGATAAGGCACAAGGAACGGCAAACCTGTCACTATGTTGCTTGTTCTGTTCAGTACCTCATTTTAATGGGGTTTGTTCATCAGCCTGTAGTGGGGCTTTAGTTAGTGATTCTACCCGAGTTTTGAGGATTTAAGGTCTGAATATTAAAAGTTGCAACGTGAAGCACGCTTGATTTTGAGAGTGTTGTTCATAGACACTGTTTCATGAACAACACTCAGCTGATGATCACAACCGCAAAGAATTAAAACCATTTTCAAACCTTGAACCATTTTCACGTCGTCACTTGCTCCTCCCGGCTCTCTCACGTACATCTCAGTTTTAATTACGAGATGTCAAAGAGGATACAGTTTCCAAAGAGTGTGAGGACGATGAAATAGACTGAAGAGAACATGCCGCGGCGAACGCCTCCTTGAGACTCGATCCCGTGGTACATCACGGCGTTCCAGTCTTCGCCAGTCAGAATCTGAGGAAGACAAGAGAGTCAGAGCGGTGCCGGGGGACACGGGTGGGCTGTAAAGCCCCTGCAAATCTCACAGAGTGCAGAATTAAATTACTTTACAGAGTGAAGGGTTATGAGCATAGACTAATTGAAGGATTATCAACGAGCTCATTAGGGGACAGAAGGTACACAGACCAGTCATTTCCCTTAATTTAAAATGACTGATAACATTCTTTCTTTTTCCATAAAGTCCATATTCTCTCATTTATTCAGAAAGTGTGAAGTGAACACTTCTGAACCTTGTGTGTCTCCGTCTCTGTGTGTGTGTTAGTGTGACTGTGCAGGTGTGTGTCGGGGGGGTCCTTACCTGGAACACTGTGAGGATGGCCGCTGGGAACGTATCAAAGTTTGTTGTTGGTGTCTCATCTTTAAAGTTAAACCTAAAAGAATCAGAATGAAAACAACATCATTACAAAGAGAGAAAAGACAAAAATACAACAAAAATGTTGCCCCAGTCAGATCTTAATGGCTTCTACCTGCACTTCAGGAGAGGATACAGAAATGTCATTATTTTAAAGGTCAGGATTAAAATTTGAAAATTTGGAAAAAGTATGTGGATTAATAATGTTAGGAGCTTGTTGCTGAACCGTCTAATCAACAATACATGTTTCTGTTCAAGAGAAACATGACACAGCACAGAGACAGACACATTCACACTTGAGTCACAGCTGCTTTTCTTCTGTTTCTCCTTGTCTGTAACACTTTCATTGTCTACTGTTCCATCACAATGCACCCGCACCCGCACACACACACGCACGCACGCACGCACGCACACACACTTGCACTTCTATGCTTGTGACGACCTTCATTGGCACAATGACCTTCAAGGTTGCATCTAGCTCAATACATCTTGGATCTGATTGTTGTTGTTACGTCTATTATTTCTATCGTTAATAACACTTTGTTGTACAAATACAACTTGGTGAGTGCAATATATGACGGTAAAAACCAGGTCCTAACTTTAACGTGGACCCAATTCTAACCTTAAAAATCCCATATTGTAGAGAGTCAGATGTCCATGTCTTTTTTGTTTATCAAGCAGAAGAGAGGCTCAGAGCCTCCTCTCTTCTGATTGGCTCACCGACCTGTTGTTACTAGAGCTCCAGAGAGAAGCCTGAGGAAGGAGATGTAAAACTACACTGAGACGGTTTTTAGTTCTTAAAACCACAAATATATCTTCTTGTGGATCAACACTTCAAATAAAGCACTGGAAAAATAGAAAACATGGGACCTTTAACTCTAAAACCCAACTCCTAACACTCAAACAGCCCTTTGAATGAATAAAGTGAGAACCAGGTCATCACAAAGATAGAAGTACAACACGAGTACACAAGTGGGTTTTTCAGATTTCATCACAGCTTCAGGTAGAGAACAGCATATTCATAGATGAAGGGAGCTGTCTTGTATCGATAATGCATGACACAGAAGGAGAGGGAGAGAGACATGCAGCAGCAGGAAACACCAGTCACCAGGAAGCCACGGCTCCAACTTTCAAGTCCAAAACACACTGTCTCTGCGTGTCTCTGCATGATTTGACACACGTCATATGCACAATTGAAGGAACGGCGATGCTGTACGTCCACAAATCCACACGGCATGTTAACAATCTAATATAACGCAAATAAAGTCAAACTGGTGTGATGTTTAGATTCAGGAATTCTCTCCTTTTTGATTTGATTGCTCACCTCCAGAGCCAACGTCTGCTCACAAGGAAAGGTCTGTTTTAAAAATACCTTTATAATTCTGACTGTCAGTTGTAGGGATCTGGGTATTTGAGTCTCTCCTTGTCCACTGTGACAGCTACAACACCACAGAAGAAGAGATGCTATCAGCTGACAAGGTATAGCCTGGATATGCCAAGCAGGGGAGCTAGTCTGAGAAAAAAAACAAACAAAAAAAAAAACGTGGCGCACTTCTAGGGTGTCGATGGTTCAACGTCTCAAAACTACAGCTGTGTGAAGTGGGTTTAAACACGCACCCCCCACAGTGCCAGTATGTTTTGGGCTCAACACAAAAGCACTCCTGCATGGAAACACACTTCAACACGGGGAAAAGACAAAATGACAGAAAACACAATGACGGAAAAAAACAGATTAAGAACAAATGATGGAAGATTTGGTCTTTACAATTTAAAATTTTTGTCACTATTTGTCAATCTTTTCATCTCTTTTATTTGACAAAAACTGCTTTCACACAACTTCTACAGCTAACAAAAATGAGTAAATAAAAGACAATAGAGATTTGGCCTCAAAGGTCAATGAATCAGAGTATTCAGTCTAACTGGATCCAAAGTGGATTCAGCTATCTGACCCTAACACTAGTGAATTCACAACAGTTACAATAGCACAGATATGGAAATATTTAGTGTTAACATGTTGTGGTTTCTGTTGAGAGTAAACAGAAGGGTCCAGCTTAATGCCATCACTACTTTCATTACACATGCACATTTTCTACACAAAGGATCTAGGTGTTTGCAGAAAGCCCCCAAATGACCCAACAAACCTGCCAAAACCTGAATCCGTGGTCTTGAAACTGAAGAAGACAATGAGAGAATGACACAGAGATGCGTAAGGATGGGTTTGTCATTCAACTGAAAATAACCTACACTGCTGAGCAGTCATCATTTCAAGTGTCAAGTGTCAGTTCATAGAAAAGAAAAGAAAAGAAATACTTTTGGGTTGGACAGAAGAAGGACGTATTACAAACCGAGGCAACACTGAAGACAAGTTTGAGTGCAATGTACAAGGTATTTCAGATGCGTGTTGTTGTGACAGATGGAGAAAAAAAAAACATTGAAGACAGTTACATTATGATGCGTATGCGTTTCTTTAAATGTGTGAAAACAGATGCTGGGGATTTCACCTGCTTCAAATTCAGCGATTTAAATGTTTGCCTGTCGTGCAACATTATCTGGACATCACTTAACATCTCTGTCTTATCTCACTTCAGTATTGTTCACTTCAAGGACATGAAAATGTGACATTCATTGAAATTCTACCACAAAATTTGTTGTTATTGTGAAGAGGTGCAACAGGGGAGTTAAAGAGAGGATGTGGAGCACAGTTACCACAGTGACCGTCTGCAAAAATGACAGCTGGTTTCTCCTTCTCAGAGCAGATCCTCTTATATGTTTGTGTGCATGCGTGTGTGTGTGTGTGTGTGTGTGTGTGTGTGTGTGTGTGTGTGTGTGTGTGTGTGTGTGTGTGTGTGTACTAGATCCTGACCGATTCAGTTTTTTTTGAGGGCGATACCAATATTGGTTTTAATAGCTTTAGAAGACACGAAACAAAAACATTTTGTGATGAGGACATAATTATGTAAAATATTTTACAGTTGACAGTTTTATTTAGTATTTGACACTTAACAGTAAACTCAAAAAGGAACGTTAGTTATTTTAATAACTACAACAAAACCAAGTTGTAATCAAGTTGATTGAGAAAAAATACCAAACATATATCAAAATACTGCCAGTGAAACATTTAGTGCTGCTCTACCACTGATTTTTGTTTCTGGGACAACATGCTGATATATACTGATATACATGATATAGCCAAAAGTATGTGGACATGTACATAATTGTGTACATTTTGTCTAAGGTTGTTTGTCATGGTGTAGGTCCCTTAGTTCCAGATAAGGGAAATCTTAATGCTACATCATGCAATAACATTTTAGACAATAGTGTGCTTCCAACGTTGCGGTTACAGTTTGTGTTTGTGTTTGGCCCTTTCCTGTTTCAACATGACTGTGCACAAAACCAGGTCCATAATGAAACGGTTTCCCCAGTTTGATGTGGGAGAACTCGACTGGCCTGCACAGAGCCCCGACCTCAACCCCATCTCACACCTTTGGGATGAACTGGAACACCAACTGTGAGCCAGACCTAATCACCCACTGGTGTTAGACCACACTAATGAATGTCTTGTGGCTGACTGGGATCAAATCCCTGCACCCAGTCTTCCCAGAGAAATGTAGGCTCTTACATCAGCAGATGATGTGCGTGGTTTTGGAATGAGATGTTCAGCAATCACACGTGGGTGTAACGGTAGAGTGTCCCCATATTTTTGGCCATGTGGTGAATCTGTGATACCAAATATCGGCTGATAATATCAGCCTGCATGTATCGGTCTGGCTCTAATATGTACTGTACATGCATGAGGGAGACATGGGGCGGGAGGGAGTGACGGATGGAGGGAAGAGAGCTGGAGGAGAGGGGGGAGGAGCAACTAATTCAATAAGCTTTTTGTCCCTTGGTATGTCATCATATTCTCTCTCCCCATGCTCCTCTCCTTCTACCTTTGTCCTTCTCTGTCTCATTACTGCATCCTCTATCACCCACCCCTCTCTCCACTCATTGCTCATCCCTCCATCACTTTCTAGATTGCACCTCAGCCTCATTCTTTTCCCTCCTTTCCTTCCTTTCTTGCTTCCCCCTTCCCTGCCTGCACCCCACCCTCCCTTCCTCTCTCCCACACCTCTCCCTCCATCCATCCCTCCTTCCATGAGGATTAGCGGGCACAGCGCAGGGAGCAGCGGTGGTGGTTTGCTGCTGCGACTGTGTGTGCCGACCTCTGTTTACTCTGATAATAGGGATTGGAAGCGTGCTGCTTGGCTTCCACGCAGCACCCACAGGGACTTCATTAAATCAATCCTGAAAACAAGAGTCATGTGAGGCCAAACTCCCCCACAAGCTCCTGCCCTCACCCCTGCATCCTTCAGACAATAGCAGCAGGTTTACATTGTATAAGTGACTGCAACACATATCTCTGAGAACACACAGGCATGTACAAGTGGACTGAAGATAACAGCTGTATAATAATAATAATAATAATAATGGAGAAAAAAAATGGGATGGTGGGACTGCAGAGCGTTGGGAATGAAACAGAACACACGCGGCACACTGCAGCTTTCTGAGAAGTCAAGAAATGAAACTGGCTTTTACTGAATGAGAAATGGGGCTGAATACAAAGAGGGAGCCCACTGTATATACTGAGGCTGCAACTCGTCAAAATGTCCAGCTTGTCCAGTGATTGCACTAAAATTTTAAAACACTTATTTTGCAATAAACATCGTTTAAAAATTGTATGTAATTGAAAATTATATTGATTTTTGGCTTATAGAGCAGAAATTAGTTCAGAATTTAAAGCATTTCTGTTGTTAACCTGTGCAGTTAACTAGCCAGGACGTTTCATATGATTTATGAACTGTATTCAGTTTATAAGGTTACCATAGTTACACATAGACTGAGAGTAACTACTGCCTGAGAAGACAGGTTCTGGGGAAGCAAAGCCCAGATGATTGATTTTTGTAAAAGTGCTTACGAATTTCACTATTTTTATGTAAAATCTTAAGCGACTGAAGAAAGTGACATTCTTCCAGTTTCACCGAATAATTGCAGGGAAGATTCATGAAAATTACGGGGATTTGTTGAATTCGCAGTACAGTTTTGAGGGATTCCTGGATGGACTGACCAATGATTATATTTATTAAAGATTAAATTAAATGTCATAAACAGTCCAGAACAACAGTGTCAAATGGAAGGTAAACTGGCTGCCAACCAAGAGGTCGGACACTCACTCAGTCTACACACTAAAGAAGACCTGAGCTGAAAATATGAAATGCCATCTCTGACAAGTCAGAGTTAATCAACAAAGGTCTAAAAACTGAAAGCTACAATGCAGCAACCAGTAAAATTCCTTATTCTATTACAGTAAATCCTGCACATTTCCTTTGAGCTTATCACATATTTTTGTCCAAACAGTCGGTGATGTCCTGTGAGTCTCAGCGGGGAGACGCTCCTCTGCCTCAAGCTGTTTATCTTTCAATTCTCTCAATTTTACCATGAGATTACTTTAGGTGTTTGGAGAGGGAGGAACATAATTTCTGAGCCAAAAATAAAGTCTGGGTATAACAAAGCATTTTCTCTTGTTCTTAACAAGCTGAAAACCTATTTTACATTAAACAACTGTCATCATCTGCCTGAGGAACGCGTGTTTGCTTTAGTTTTGATATCATTCAACACTTTCTGAAAACGTGAAGCGACATTATCTGTAAATACATGTGTGGCAGATTGTCTGTTTAATGACGCTTGATATTTAGCTCCAGAAAAATCTGAAATTATTTGACACCTTGGTACATTTTTAGAAGCAAATGAGCTTGAATGTTACAGCAGACGTTCTTTGCAGAGAACAATGTGCTCAGTCTGATGTGCTCGGCTGGCTGGAAGCACCATGTGGACGTCAGACTCATCTCACACTTGTCCATCACCGGAGACTGATGCGATGCTAATGATGGTGCAGACTGATGTAAGACTTGCCACCATGGCAACAGCCTGCTGCTTCAAAGACATCAAGTTGGTACCTCTGCGGTTAAGACACGGTTGAGATTAGTGGACTTGAACTACTTGGTTAGGGTTAAGCAATGATCATGGAGACGGGATTTGAACAGCGGTCTCCAGTGTCAAAGTCAGACACTCTGTATGCACAACCATCAACTCCGACATCCTCCCTTTGCGATGTTATAATAATGCTGAACTACTCGCTCCTTTGCCTTTGAGGTCACTTGTCAGGAAAACAGAAACAGAGGTCATAGGTCAATGACCAGTGTTGTAGTTTTTATTTTCCATTCTGTCTCAAGTTATTCCACAAATTTTCCACTCAGTTTTTAATATATGTTTAAAAGATAATTCTGGTTTTACTACAACTTGGATCTTATTTTCATGGATTGTGTTATTTCTATTAGTAATAACACTGTATCTAAATGTGACCTATGAAGCACAAGATGAGACAAGTACGCTAAGTTCTCATTGTGCACTCATCAAGTGTTATTTATCTTATTTTACTCTAAAGGTCACCCATTAAAAACAAGAGGAAAGAGTGAAGAAAGCGGCAATGTCGACATTGTGTCCAAATCAAGTGAAACGCTGAGATCTGGGAAAAGGCGACATAATAATAACTATGAATAAAGTAATAAATAAAGTCAAAGGGGGCAAGAAACATGCAAAGTAAGAACATCAGACAAGTTGTTCAAAAAAAGAAAAAAGTGATTAAACTTATTTGGAAACAAAGACAAACTGAAAAACTATTACCCAGTTAGTGTATTGTAAACATCCTTAAAAATCTATGGACTGACTTCCTGGATCAGCTTTGACCTACTGTGCTCATCGTGGCCATGCACACACAGTTTTCCTTTGCAATTAAGGTTTATTGCAAACATTTGAAATGTGCAAGCTTTCAGTTTTACCTCCAAATAAAGTGGTGTAGATAGATAAACTGCAGATAAACTCTTAGCTTGTGTACGACGCCTGCTCATGTTTCTCGTCCTGCAGGACTTCATTGGAGCTGTGTTGTTTGTCTTCCCAGATCTCAGCACTAAAATATCCTTTGTTGAGTTTAATGTTTTCATAATCGACTGAGAAAACACGATCCGAGTTTAAATAAACCACAATTATCCTTTAGGGACTTTTAGCTATAAAATTTCTTTCCTACTGAACAGAGCAAAGCTGCCAAAGTTAGCTCAGACCTCACAGGGCTAAGATGCACCAATCGGCTGTAAACTACGGAACAGCACAGATACTATAATTAATATATGTAATATAGTGAAAAATTTAAAAACACAAAAAGCGATCATGTGATCAACTTGATTGGCCGTACAGTGTCTGTGTGATTTGGGCTGACGAGGAGAGAGAGAGAGTACAATGTGTGTGCATGAGTTGAGTCAGATGGGGCTGGATGGCAGGCCTTTGATAAACTGCAGCCAGCCCAGAATCATGAGGTGTTCCTGTCATTAGAAAACATGGGCCTCCTGCTGAGAGTGATATCAAAGGGCTGCAGTCAGTGCTGCTTCTGTGCCAGCTACCTGCTGCGTCAACACGTCTGTCACCACCGCCACGCTGGCCAGGGATCACACACACACAGAGAATGAGGAGAGGAGAGGTTGTGTGTGTGTGTGTGTGTGTGTGTGTGTGTGTGTGTATACATATGTGTCGGTGATGACTTGTGGATGGATGGACAGAGAAGGAAAGAGCGGTCAGAGAGCAGGACAGGTTAGAGAGTGTACTCACTGTCCTCCAAAGAGCTGCATGCCGAGCAGGGCAAAGACCACGATGAAGAGAAAGAGGAGGAAGAGCAAGCTGATGATGGACTTCATGGAATTGAGGAGGGAAACCACGAGGTTCCTCAACGAGTTCCAGTATCTGAGAGAAAGCAGCAAACACACAGAGGGAGGCTCAGAGACATGATGGATGGGGACACAAAATACCACAGAATAACACGACAAAGCTCGAGAAAAGAGAGAAAGAAGCAGAAAGAGGAGGAAAGAGAGACCACACTGGCAGGAACAGCTGTGGGTAGCATAAAACAAATCAATGCGTCAGGGTCTACAGCTGCCAGTTTCACTGAATCACGGGATTACAGCTAATCTAATGAAATAAAAGGATTTCCATCAAACTCTAACAGGATTTTCAGTTCAGAGAGAAAGGAATTAAGACAAAAGTGACACCCATGTAACATAAAAACCTCATATCTACAAAATGTAGTTTTAAAACGATTCACACAGATTTGATCAAGTACTCTGGGTTTTTGATGTAGATGTGCTCATTAGTTGCAGTTACAGTGATCACTGAATGACAGTAACTGTGACTTTTGCTTTAACTCTCGCATGATTTTCACTTCTTTAATTTTTAATGCTACTGCACTGTCATTGTAAGGAATATCATATGTTGTTATGTTTATAACAGGTCAGGCTATTGGTAGAAGACAGAATGGTATTCTCTACAACACGTTATGAAAAATGCTGCAAGGTTTTTGCCTGTAACATACACATCAGTGAATAAAATTAAAGAAGAGATATAACAACCATGTCCATGCTCTGAGCCTTGGTTCTCTAAAAAATCTACTGTGAAATGATCAAAAAATTTTCATGGAATTTTGGGACTACAGCTCCCATCATGCTTTGGGTAATGTAAAAAGAAGTGGATCAAAGTGTTCTCGCTCTGCCTGTTTTGTTGAGGATAGCCTCAGAGCTTATTTACAGAGCAATCCCAGAATGCATTTCATGTCAACAAGTGGCAGCGGCGGACAAAGTTAAGACAGGCTCATAGCTGTCATAACTTTCATCCTGTGACTGTTATTATGTCACTAGCCTGACATTTTTCAGGCGATAAAGTAACCATTTAAATTTCATACAAATAGTTGACGCCTATTGGAAAATTCGTTATGACGCTTTCAGTGATGTAAAGACCAACTCGACAGTCATCTCTGCTGCTCCAACTGCAAATTGGTCACGCTGCTTCCTTGGGAGCTTGGACTACAAAGTTAAACTTGCCAAATTCAGAGTCCGAAGTACACAAGTCTGAACTTGTAGTACTCTATTATTATCTGATGTAGCTGAAAGCTTCAACTGAATCCACATTTTCACCTGTAACATGAAAAGTTATGTGGTCATCGGCGCTACTGATATCAGTGGAGAGTTCAGCTTTGATTGCAGCAGTGTGTGAATGATGTGTCTGTGTGTTCCTGTCTGATTTATGTCACTGAGAGGAAAATTTACAGGCTAAAACAATCATGACAGGTCATAAAGAGCCCGAAAATCTGGTATTATGTTGAAAGGCTGACAGTTAAGAGATGTGTGAAAAATGATAAGCTTTTCTGACTAAATCCTGTTGTGCTTTCTGTCTGTAGTTACATGTGTGTGTGTTGTCGGATGTTTACTCACTTGGTGACTTTGAATATCCTGAGCAGTCGCAGGGCTCTCAGCACACTGATACCAAATGATGCTCCTGGTTTAATCATGTCCCAGATGACCTCAAAAATACTTCCCACAATCACCTGGAGAGAAGAGCAGAGGGTCATCGGTCATCATCTGTTTGGCTCTGTTTCAACAAGCCATTTAAAACAATTTAATATAAATCAAATCTCGCCCTGAACCAAACAGAACAGGCACCGCTGGTTAGTGTTTAGTATCTACCCGAGTGGAACTGCTGACAGCGACTTACCCCAAAATCGAAGCAGTTAAAGGAGGAATGGAAATAGTTCCGCACTCCGAGGCCGTACATCTTCAAGGTCATCTCAGTCAGGAACAAACCCAGGAACACGAACTCTGCTGCGTCTGTTTACCACGTGGCCAGGGTAACAAAACCAAGAGGAACTAGTTTGACATACCATCGATATCAATGAGTGTCTGTGAGTATGTTGCGCATTTGTATGTGTGACTTACAGAGGGCCCTTGTAAGCCACTCAGGTTGGTCATAGTGAACTATGGCCACACACAGAGTGTTGAGTCCCACCAGACACAGGACGATCCAGTAGAAGCTCTGAGCCTTCACCATGCGGCGGATGAAGAAGCGGATCCTCTTCTCCTTACGACGGAAGTAAGACGAGCTGTCCATCTTGCTGCCGCTTTTCACGCTGGCCCGACCAAACGGAGAGCCAGGCGGAGCTGGAGGCGATGACGAAGAGGCGAGGGGAAGAGAGGAAATGTATGAGTGTACAGGTTAAATATTTGTCAGCTTCCCAGTTTACAAAGTGAATCACTGTGTGTGTGTGTGTGTGTGTGTGTGTGTGTGTGTGTGTGTGTGTGTGTGTGTGTGTGTGTGTGTGTGTGTGTGTGCGTGTTTTGTCTTCTTCCTACTGCCGTCATGAGCAACATCCCCATCATCGCGTCTCTAATCGAGAATTTGAAATTACATTTGCTTTCCCGCTTGCTCGGGCTACTTTTTATTGTAACTGCAGGCACAAAAAAGCCATTTTTGATCTAACCCCTTCATGTGTGTTGATTTATCACAGTTTTACATTTTGTTTTACCTTTGACCACACCTAGCATCACTGACGGATGCAGCTGGGTTTGTTTCTTTACGCACCTGTAGCCAGAACAGTGACGTCACAGAGTGTGTTCAACTTTTGGGGAAATACTTAGCAGTTTTCTTATTAAGGAAGTTACTTTCTCAAACTTTCTTGCTGAGAGTTAGATGAGAACATTAGTACCACTCGCATGTCCGTATGGTGAATACAAAGCTAGAGCCAGCAGCCGCTTACCTGAGCTTAGTATAAAGACCTGAAACAGGGCTAAACAGCTGGCCTGGCTCTGTCCAGAGATTTACAAAAAAGCCTAACAGCAGCTCCCGTAACCGGCGGTAGTTTCACAGGGAGTTAAAAGTTTTTCTCACTGGCATGGTGACCGTCTGCCATCCTTCCAGCCAAGAAACAGTTCCAGCATCTAACTCCCAGTAAAACCAGTCTGAGCTGGGGCTTTTTTTGGGACTTGTTTACCCATTTCCACCTGCTGATGCTGTATTCCTCCTAACAATGATGCATTCGTCTTCTTTTTCTTTCAGTTTTCCTGAGTTGCACCAGGATTGCACTTGTGCCTCAGGTCACGTACACTGCACAAATTAGTTGGCAACACCTACATGTATTTGTGTCTGGAGTGTGCTACTACCAGTGACAAGAAATAAAGGTTTTTGAAACACTATAGTTGGGTAGGAATCTATTCCACTTCACATCTGTGAATATGCACAGAAAGATGTTTGAGATTAAGACTATAAACTGCTAACAACATTTACCTGAGGGACAGAAATAAAAGCGTAAAAAAAACACCTGAACACTCCTTGAATTTTACTTGCAGCTGCTCATTAAAAAAAATATGTACCTAATATCTCTGTGCCGTGCAGCAGAACTGCAGGCGTAATGTGTGAAACAAGCGAGATGAGACCACATTTGATTGTGCAGTGCACCTATTCCCTTGGCACTTAATTTGATGGAAAACAATCATGAGATGAGATAGTCTGAAAAAAGTAGCATTTTTAAATTGAAGGCAACAAAATGGTTTCAATTATCATGCTTCTGTTTATTTCCAACCCACAGACAAGCAATTACATGTTGTCCTTGTGTGGGACTGTTAAGTCCATTAATATTAAAAAGTCTAATTTTAATATGCTGCAGGTGATTCTCTTGCCATTTTAATTTTACAGTCTAATTAGGGAAAGTTAATTATACCTCTTTTCCCTCAAGGTGATATACTTCCACAGCCAGGAGAAACAGTTTTAGGTCTCCAGATCTGCATGGTGCTGAATCTGAGTTAGTGACGTACATGGTGAAGTTTGTGTGAGATATTTAACACCATGTTTTATATGTGTTGAGGTGACGCGACACACTAATCTGACAAATGGGGACCAGAGAGTCAGAGGACATGTTCAGTGGTTATGTTCAGCGTGGAAGACAGGCTTTTTACAGCGGCTTTTATTGTAAAGGTCGACTGTGTGGACAGACAGCATGTGAAGGTCAAAGGTGGTCTGCTGGAGGCTGTGGATAAAAAGATGCAAGATTTACCAACAGAGGAGATGTCAGCAAAAGGGTCCTCGCCCTCCTCAGCACCGATCAGGTCGTTTTTACCTTTCTTGGCTTTGCCTCGTTTCAGGACTGTGGAGAGAACAGCAGAGACCAGAAGGGAGAAAATAATCACGTATGAGTCTTAATAAAATATGATGTAGTAATGAATTGTAATGTTGGAACGGTGCTGCGCTGTCATGCAAAACTCTTTGTTGTGAAATTGTTAAAGCAAAGAAGTTTGTTATAGCAAAAAAAACAAAACAAAACAAGCATTCTAAAATTGAATTTCAATGGAGGAATTCTCATCCAAATGCAGGATATATATACTGTGTGTGTGTGTGTGTGTGTGTGTGTGTGTGTGTGTGTGTGTGTGTGTGTGTGTGTGTGTGTATGGATGGCAAAGTAGAGGGGTGAGCTAATTGGAAACTATGAATAGCAGACATCAATCATGTTTTTCATTTGGAGATTTTCTGCCTTCCTGCTTGAAGCCAGCCTTGGAAATGAAAAACTGCCACCACGACATGAATGTGATCGTCACGTGACCAGCCCCATGTCACCGGAGCTGTGGGCTTGTTCTCAAGATCTACAACCCCAGTTCTCCACCCGAAAGGGCTGCTGGGAGGCAGAACCGGGCTGCAGAACAAATGATGAGGCTGTGAGGCTGAGATACGCTGCAAAGGTCTCGTCCTTATCAGATCCTTTCTGTTTTATGACTGATCCTTAAAAACCTTATTTTATCAAAACAAGTGAAACAATCAGACGTAAGAAAATCTTAACGTGTTCAAACCAACTGGTTCTTGTACTGAGTCTTTGCTTCTTCAAGCAAGACAGAATAAGGCAGGATGCTGCACTAGAATTAAATATTTCCTATGGCTTTAACAAGGTTAATTTGAAATAGTTTTCATTTTCACTTCACTCTTCATTTCAATTCCACACAGCAACTACTTTAAGTTCATCCGTCTTTTATCTCTAAATGAAATATCCATCCTGAGAAAAATATTATCAAGGATAATTTCCTCAATTTCTTCTTAAAAGACTAGGTAGAGGGAGGATAAATTGTTTTAGTTATTGAGTCAATCAGCTCTGATTGACACTGTGCACCATCACTTATACCTGTCATTCATCTGAAGAAGCCCAACTCCATATTTTCCGCTCTAACAACATCAGAATGGCTTTTTCTACTCCTGTGGATTCAGACATTTTAATCCCTCGTATGTAACTAATTGAGAAAATCCGGCCGCTGGCTGCTGTCACTTCACTGGAGTCGTCAGCGTGGATTTGTTTACAGTTTGTGTCCGTTTTCCTGGCAAATGCATTTCCATGTGCGTATGTGTCTTGGGGAGCGTGGTATGGTGAATTTATGTTAACAAATCCAATCAGACTAAAGCTGTAAATCCCACTAATTAACCCTCCTCACACCAGCACTAATGGACTGACATCATGGGTGAGAGATAGGAGATAGAGAGAGGGAGTGAGAGAGAGAGAGAGAGAGAGAGAGAGAGAGAGACAGACAGACAGAAGTAACAGTGTGCTCTTTCTGCAATAAAGGCAACAAGAGTACAGCGTGAAAACCATGATTAGCACTCCAGTAACAGGCTGATCGTAAGTGCTGATTATGCAATTGCACTTGCTGTGTAATTGGCTGGCTTGGATACAAACAGCCCAGTTTGCAGTCACACAATAGGGGGTTACTGTTAATGTGAGGAGCCATATGTTAACTGTGATGTACTGTAATTCTACACTATTAAAAGTAAGCATTGTGTCAAAAAAACAAAATTAAGGACACATATGACTATGAAATACAAGTTTGGCCCCGGATATGTTACATCCTGTTTCTCTAGAGGCCAGAGAAGTGGTGTGTCTCCTCTCTTGCCTTTGAAGTTGGCAGATTCAAAACTATTCGGGAGGAAAACAGATTGTGTGATTTGGGAGAAATAGAAAGTAAGTCCCATTTTCTTTTGTGATTTCCACACTGTGGTGATTTGATAATGTAAATCGACAAAACCCTGAAATATTCTGGTGTACAGATAATCAAAAATCAAAATGGTTGCTTTCTGTCTATGTTTTTAAGTTTGGTAACTTAAATGGTTAATTATGATAAATGGATTATCTCAAAAGCCTGGAATAGCGAAAAGTATTTTTGCACTATATAGAAAAGATTTTTTATCAGAGATTTATTGATTTTGTTGTAGTCAATGAAGGTCTGATAATCTGATTGTTAAAGTTGTCTGAATTGTACTGTTTTTGATTTTGGACTTTGAAAATAAATGTACAGGCTGTAATGAAATTACTTTAAATTGAAAATCAATTGTTGGTGTTTTGCAAACCCATGAGGGCTAGTTATGAAATCATTCTAAAACCAAAGATTCAAGTATATGTCCAATTTTCAGAAAACTGACTTCTAGAAATCATTTACTTTGAAGAAATAGAATCTCGGTCTGGCTCTACCAGTGCCACTAAAGTCCTCTAATTAACACGTCATATCTTGTAGGTTTAACACCTACACAAGTTGCGGTGTTATGCAGGGCCATGTGCAGGACTAATTTCTACTATACTTATACTGACTATATTTTTTCAACCAGTGGAAACTGCATGAACAGATCTTAATCATTTCTCAATATCTGTCTGTTCTTAAGTACAATCGTAACTATATCAACATTTCTCAACGTGCTTTTAAGAAAATAACATATCTGTTTCTGAAAAGGAGTATTAACTTCAAACCTCTGCAAGTATCCAGCTAACTGTGAATAAGCCTGCACTTTTGCTGGTGTAAGGATTTATTGACCAAACAATTATATTATAAGTAATTCATTCGTAATAAGCTGAAAAAAAAATCAGGCCTGTGTCTAATCAACAATTGTATCAAGCTAACAGCCCAGCAGTTTGAATTATAATGTCTTGAGAAATACAAAAATACAGCATTTTCATCTATTGCTAAAATGTCCCCCTACACACTGTGTGTATACACAGATCGGTCCTTTAAGGAAAACCTGGACAATAATCCGAACAATTAAATTACACCTATTCTCCACACGTAAAAGAGATCACATTCATGGTGAAGTGAGTTCCCGATGATTTTATGTACAGCAGATGGATGCTACACAGCATCAACCTTTGGATGGAAATGATCGACACTACCTCTTTGTGCCTGGTTTACCATTGGCCTCCTGTAGTGATGGACCATGGTAAAGCAGGAAACAGATACTCAGCCCTGTTTTCACCTGGAAGGTTTTGTTTCCTCTTGTACCACGCACCGTCCAGCGGGGACTTCTCCTCTGCAATCTCGTCCTCCTCCTCCAGCAACACCTCCTCTGCAGCAGGAGAGAGAAAGGAATGACTGACTTTCTTAACAATTTGTCATGTTTTTCTAACCCAACAACCACATAAACGCCTGCTCACACGGATTCAGAAACGACTCTAACCTGCTTTGCAGATCCACTCCAAGTATCCGGTGAGCTCTCTCTCTATCTGCTGCTGCCTCCGAAGCTTCAGGAACTCCTGCCTTTTCTCCACACGCTCTCTTTCTTTGGCAAATTCTCTGTTGAAGCATACATATGGATTTTTTTTTTTTTCATACACAGAAAGAATAAATAGATGTGGCATGTCATCATATGTGGCAACTTAGAATCAAAAAGCTAAGTTAGTTTTTGTCTGCCAGGAGATAACTTGCACATACGCGTTCACAGCAACAGACAGGATCATGTTCATTACAGGAGCAACAAAGGTGTGAGACACTGCATCATGAAAACAGATGATATTGTGGCTTAAACATGCACCTGAGGGATCCAGGTGACAGCTGGGCAGCTGTTGAGGGCAAGTTAAACCATAATGGACTTTTGTGTTGTGCCTATTGGAGATGTATCAGACATAGTACTTATACAGCATATGCAGTTTTATATTGAGATTAGAACAAATGTTGTGATGTAGTTAATGTTCTGGAAAATCAATTCCAAAGCAAAATGACCACATGGGGATATCTGTTTTTGGCAAACACAGTTATTGAAGGGAACAGTTCAACATCGATGATAAGACTAATCCCACTCTCACATCCGTATGCTAAATATAAAGCTACAGCTGGTTTACTTATGTGTTTATTTCCCTCTGTCTTTATGCTAAGCTAAGCTAAGCTAAACTGTCTCCTGGTTGTAGCTTCATATTTAACAACATTACAGACATGAGGGAGGCAGCGATGTTCTCATCTAACTGTCACCAACATCGAAGTAAAGTATTTCATCACATTAATGCAAAAATCCTTTTAAATTCAACACTGTTAAAAAGCAGCGCTGCACATTTTGGGCTGTCCCAGAACAAACGGGACAATCACAAGAGAAATGTGGTGAAATCTTTGCTCATCAATCCAAAATGGTGGTTCTAGATCACAGTGAGACTTTCAGTAATGTAGGGTACCAGATTCTCTCAATATGACCCCTGACCCATCACATCTGTGAAGCAGCTAAGATCATGCGATCCTACCCATAGTCCGATCATCCTATTAATTAATAGCCGATACAATGGGAGGAGGTGGTTTATGTTACATGAGCGGGAGAGAAAGAGCGAGCGAGTGGAGTTTTGCTCGCCTCTCTTTCTCTCTCTCTCACAGATACACTGAGTGATGACAGTACGATGACAAATACGTTTCATGGTGATGTTAGACCAAAATTGTCATCACAAATAAAGCATTAATTATTCACATTTAAGAAATAGAGCATTCACAATAATCGCTCAAAATGAGCAGGGGGACGTGCCTCGAAACAGCTGTTAGCTGGCTTTCAGCCCCCCCCCCCCTGACTGTCCAAAAGTTCTATTTCCAACCATGAAAAGCATCAGGATAAGAAACTGAAATAAGTGTTCTGTGTGTCGATCTTCTCCACTGTGTTTAATTACAGCACAGCACCTACACACAACTGGTCCTTGTATGCAACTGTGTGTGTGTGTGTGTGTGTGTGTGTGTGTGTGTGTGTGTATGTGTGTGTGTGTGTGTGTATGTTTGTTAACCTGAATTTAATAGTAAAAATCATGATAATAAGTTAATACATGAATGGGAAAACAAGCCAAAAATTGTCCTGACATTGGCAAAGGCATGAGCTTTCAGTGACCGCTCTGATGATCACAATCACCAAGCTCATCGTCCATTGGCACGACCTGAAAAGCAGCCAATCATTGGACAGGCCATTTTTGAATTATGTTAAAAAAATACATGAGTAAAAACCGCATCAGCAATAGTTTCAGAACAAGCTGATAACATGTCTCTACTTGCATTGTTTTTTTCTATTTAGATAATAGCCTTATAATTGATAAGACCTATTGACCCTGCATGATATGCTCCAGAATTGATGATGTGCCGTCTGACACAGCATGCTTGTATTAGGAAATCACACAGAAAGAAAAGCTCCTCCTTCAGCAGCGGGTTTTATGTGACCTGAAGACTAATGACCACACACATGTTTGCTTTCATCCAGATGCTGGTGAGACAAGGGGCTGTGAGTCACAGCAGATGAGAGGAGACTTCTTGCAAACACAGACTCAGTGAGACGGACAGATGTCAGATCCAGGAGCACAGAGGACCAGGATGATAAAAGCCACAGGCCTTTTCACCACACAAGGCTCGCCGATGAGAAACCCAGAGTAAAAAGGAGAAGCGCTAGATGACGAAGGAGGAGGGGTGAATAATCTGTTTGCTCAGTTCACCCTCAATTCAGCATTTTCTAACAAGACATGAGATAACCTTTATCTCCATTGTGCAGCAGTTAACAGACCAATAGGATTGCTGTCCTAAAACTCAAGATTGGTGGACGGTTTGCTTCTTTGCATGTAGGTAGGCCGGGGTTGATTCAAGCAGCCAGTAAAATGACCACAAGCTGAACCAAATACAGAAGCGCATCCAGATGCAGTATGTAAGTATTCTCCAAAAAGGGTCCAGTGGTGACCCATCCAAAATCGAGACTTGTTCATCAAGACATCATGTTCTCAATCTAACTGCTAATTTGTCTGATAATTATTGATCCATTAATACTGCTTGTTGCTTTAGTAAAGAGAAGAATGGGAAGAAAATGCAAATAAACTGCTGATTATAAATCTTCTAAGAAAGTAAAAAACATATAATTTTGAACTATCAACAGTTTGAAACACAGATGCCAATGTTTAAATCCACTTTTCACCCAGTTTGTCATTTTTAAATTTTTTCAGATTTTTTTTATGAATCCAGTTTTTGCACATTTTAATATATAAACCAAACACAAACAAACTGCAGGATTTTCTTAACAGATGAAAATACAGAGCAGATTCTTATAATAGTTACACCGGGTTTATAATCAGCAATCATCAGTCTTGATTAAGCAGAGCTGGAATATGTGCGTTTATGTTTAGAGCTGACTTACCCTGAGAGGACACCAAGAACCAGGTTGAGCATGAAGAAGGACCCGATGATGATGAGAGGGATGAAGTAGAGCCAGTTCCAGGTGTTTCCTGCCACATCATTGGTCTGGACACACACACAAAAAAGTATAATTACCATTAAACACATGAAACCTAAAGTAGCACATAATAGAAATGTCGGCATATCATCAGTAGAGGTCACCGATGCAAATAAATACCCGGATTGTCAGTTTCATTTTCTTGGAACCACCTTTTTAAAATGACTTGTCACCATGTCACCACACCATGTATTGTGCACTCGCTTTCAGTTAAAAAGAGTTATTTATTTTAGTCAGACATGGTTAATGCACAACTCACAAATAAAAAGTAAAAGAAATGATGTTTGGTTTTGAGATGACAGGGCATGAATGGGTTTCATCCTACTTTCCCATTTCTCATTCACAGCAGTGAATAAAAATATATTTTTTACGAAGTTTGCCGACTGAAGAAAAAACTTTTGCCATCTTGCGTCGTCAGAAGAATACTGACAACTTTTCAGTAAAAAAAAAAAAAAAGTAATTAAGAAAGATTCTCCCTCATCTCCGTGAGCTTCCTGCCACACAAACCCATTAACTAATGCTCCGTCCTCTATCACAGCAAAACAACTGTTTCATTCAGCACGAGTTACAGCTCGGAAACATCTATTACCAATGAATTGTCCACAGACAAATAGGTGTGACAATTCAGTCTTCCAATAGGAGTTGTCATGGCTGGGCTGATTAAATGACTTACACTTCCACTCATGCATGCGCGCACAACTTTTCAGTCACACGCACGCACGCACACACACATGCACGCACGCACACACACGCACGCACACACACACACACACACACACACACAGCTAACTGCACTGACCAATGACATTTCATTTGTCCTCCATGAGAAAGGCCTCTAACATTTTAATGAAAAACATTCTTTTTTTTTTTAAAGATCCATTATAGATTTTATATTAATACAAATCAGTTTATCTTCAGTTTTGTGCATTCAACAGCTCTTGTTTTTCACAGTAAACTAAATCAAAAGCTTCGACTAACAGAAACATGTTGGGCTACAAATGGTATTAAAATTACAATAGTCTACATGTTTATGTTAACCATAGATCAAATCACTATGTGTTAAGGGTCGCTCACGGTGACATGTTCAAGCCAGATATTTGCCTCTAGAGGTGGTGAAGACCAAGAAGAAGCTAAAAAGGAAATTATAATATTGGACGTATATTTTTTCGGTGGCCAAAATCCATGACACCCAGTGAATGATACTGTTGGTCCATATAAATAAATGTGAAATTGTTTTGATAACATGGAAGCCATGTCAAGTTCACAAAGTTACAATATGTCAGTGTTGTTTAAAGCTTGTCCAAGTGGCCAAAAACACAATTACTGCTGCTTTAGAAATCAGGGAAGTTTATTAAAATATATGCATTACTGATTTTTAAGATTTTTACCTGTTTTGTCATATTCAATACAAGCACAGCTTATGTTTTCCTGAATAATGCAGCCACAAAAACAAATGAGGCTTAGACTTTATCCAAAGCACTTTGTAGTACTGGCTGGATACTTTATGATAACGGTTATGGCCAAAACTGACTGACTATGTGCTTCTGTACTGCCTGAGCAACAACTCATTTTCCCCCGGGGGGTTCTGGGAGTCATCACCCTCCATGTCTGAGATGGGCTCCCCACATAGCGGCCTGTTAGCAGGGGACAGACCTGCGGACGGATGGGTTGTGTGAAGCACAGTGACATTTTGCAGACGCCAGTATTGAAGCGCTGCCACATACTGGCTGTAATTGTGATGGGAGGTTCAGGGCGGCTGAATAAGCAGACTGGAGATCTATATTATACACCCCAGTATGTGAGACACACACACACACACACACACACACACACACACACACACACACACACACACACACACACACACAGTAGCACACCCTCTGTCTCAGCTGTCAGAGGAGCATGAGCCCACACACCAGGATAAATGGCTGGAAGAAGCTTCACTTTGTTTCTCTGTATCATTTTTTTCCTCCATGTACAACACTTCATCACTTTCTCATCACTCAATCCTCTGCCTCTTGCTCTCCGTGTTTTGTTAAACGTTAAAATAAATGTTACATGAGCATCCTCTTTTCTTCTCTCTCCATCTAAGTTCAGTTCTATTCAGTTAAGCTTAAATAATAGTGGGTCATTTTGGGAAATATTCTTACTTTCTGTCCAAGAGTTAGATGAGAAGATAAAGACCAATGTCATGACAGTGTGTTAATTAAAAAACTGAAGCCAGGACATTGTTAGCCTAGCTTAGCATACATTCTGGCAGCAGAGTGAAACAGCTATCCTGGCTCTGTCAAATGTTAGGGAAAAAAAGCTGCCACACCTCTAAAACTCATTACTTAACATGTTTGTTTAATGCGTACATGAATAAATTTAGGGAAAATTATATACTGGAGCTATTTCTAGGCAAATAACAACCAGGTGCAGTGGCGTAGCTTCACTTCACAGAGTCGTTGGTTTTATGAATTGCAACTTTCTCACTCTCATCAATGTCTTTTCCAACTGTTTTCAGAGAAAAAACTCAGATAAACCAACTGAATGCTACTTATACAGCGCCAAGTGAGAGAAAGATAAATCTAGCATTTCTCTGCTAAAGAGCCAGATATTTAACCTAGTTGGTGGAGACCAAAAGAGAGCGAAAAGGGGAACCAATACTCAATCCTCACACTTTAGATTCACATAACTCCAAATAAATGTTGATGTTACTTCGTGTAATTAAATAGCCAACTCTTTAGTAGCATGTTAGCAAAGAGTCTGCTGTGTTTACAACTGGTTGTGCTGCCCTCAAGTGGTCAATTTAGCTAATTTAGTATCTTTGTTCAGAGTTTGATAACATGCAGCTCTTTTGTGTTTGCAGTAGCAACAAACATCTCAATGCTTCTCTCTCTGGGGAACCCGGTATTTCTGGAGTGGAGGAGAAAATGAATTGTACATGCACTCTGTTGCGTCAGCTTTCAGAGAGTCGGCCGGTAAGGAGGGAAGACTTCTCTCCTGTTGACACATCCTTAATTCTTTGGCTGACAGCTCAGGCAGATGAGCTAAGCTCAGTTGAGTTTGTGCAAATTCTTTTCAGTTACTGAAACACAGCGAGGTCTCGTGGTGGAAGCCTAAGAGCTGCTGGTTTTCTCAGATTCAAGAGATTGAGCAAGCTAAAAGCAAGTGAGCACACAATCTGATTTTGTGATGACATTTCGGACTCATTGTTTTTGACTGTTTTCTCTCAAAAAGAAAAAAACAAGTTTCGGGATTTATTAGATGTCATTTTGAATGTTACTATGAATATTAAAGCAGAGCATCAACACTATATAATCAGCAACTTTTTTGCATTTTCTCAACATTTTTCTCTGCACTTTCTATGACTAGATGTTTTACTGAGATGTGCTTGTTGGCAAGAGGACCTTGTTCACTGTAACTACAATTTATTATAAGAACAAAGACGAAGTATCTCTATGACTGAGTAAAAGAATTTCAAGAGTCACTGTTATGAAATACCATTGATCTAGTAGGTAAAGTTTGTATAGCACCTTTCACAGATACAGAATCACAAAGTGCTTTACATCAATAAAAAAGTACAAAAGTTCCAAATAGATGAGGAAATAGGTCAGTAAAAGGCAACAAAATAAAATGGAGCAGCTATGAAGACATTTTTTGCAAAATGTCACAGCAGTCTATCCCGATGATAAGGGGAGAGCATTTCATAAATTGAGTGCCACTGCTCGAGAAGCACAGTCACCTCCAGTTTTATAGGAGGTTCAAGGGACAGCCATTAATTTTTGTTCAGCAGACCTTAGAGCCCGGTTGGCTGTATAAGGGAGGAGGAGGTCAGCAATATACTGGTGTGTTTGACCATGAAAAGCTCTTAAGGTTAGCTCCACTATTTTAAAATGGATGCAGAATTCGACTGATGCGTGATCTTTTGTTATTTCTACTTAAAAGCCGAGCAGCTGCATTTTGGACAGTTTGGAGACGGCTCAACAAAGTTTGACTCAAACAGGTAAAAAGAGCGTTACAGTAATCTGAACAAGAAGAAATAAAAGCATGAATAATCTTGTCCAAGTCAACGTTAGTCACCTGAGATCTTAATTTAACTTAATGTTCCTCAACTGGAATAAAACATGAGCTGACTGACATGATTATGAAAAGACAGGGATTGGTCAAAGATGGCACAGACATTTCTAAAGTTATACTTAACACAAACACATACAGTATACTGCTTGATGTTTGGAATTAGATTTTAAGGAGCAATTATAAGAGTCACTGTCTTATTTGCATTTACCTGAAGTCAGTTGTCAGCCTTGTCTTGATGGTGTCCAAATAATCATTTAATGTGGACAATTGGTTACTATCATCAGCAAGCAATACAACTGAATGTCATCGGCATAAGAATGATAACAGGCCTAAACATTATAAGGGATGTTTTACAGTCAGGCTTGGATCATCAGCTGAAGTAGGGCATTGGAAACCAAAGTGTCAGACTCGATAATAACTGCTTTATCCATCAATTTAAAGACCAACATGTGTGAGTTTTTAGTTATTTATTTTCCCTCCTCTTGTCTTGTTTGACAATGTATCACACTATAGATGCCATGGCTGTTGACAGTCCTGATCCTGAACAACTCTCTCTGGCCCATCCTGGACCATCACCTTTGTATGTGATGCAGGTTAGAAGAGAAGAGAAGAGAAGAGAAGAGAAGAGAAGAGAAGAGAAGAGAAGAGAAGAGAAGAGAAGAGCTGTACGATGGCCCCTGGGCAGCATGGAAGGACATCCATCACTTCATTTTTCAAACTGTATGTCACTTCTGGATGGCGGGTGTGATCCAGTATCGTATATAACAAACAGCCTGTGGCACTGTCAAGCAGACACATCTGTGGTTCTGTCTACATTTAATTCATATATTTAGGCTAAGATGTGTGTTTGTGTACTTGTATGTATTTGTCACCAACCCTCTCCATTTTGCCTGAGACAGATTTTTATTAGTTTTCTCATTGCCTCATTTTTTTCATGCATATTAAT